CAAAAAAAAAAAGCCAGAATTAGATGGAAGGCAGGAACAACGAGATCTTTGTCAACTGCAAATCCACACTCCATCGCAGATTCAAGAGGGATGAGGGAGAAAAAATCCAGAGGAGCACAATGCGTTCGGAGAGACGTGGAGGGTTGATGAGTTTGTAGGAAATGGAAAAAAAAAAAAAAAAAAAAAAAAAAAGAGGGCCCACCTCCCTTCCTCACTTGCGATGAGAAAAAAAGCATGGCACCCCCTGAAGTCGGTCTGGGATTGCCCTCTGCGGTGCTGGATGGATGGGGAGCGATGCAAGCTGCTTGCACTGAGGCATTCTGCATCGCAAATCCGCTCCCAGCGCAACGTCGAAGGAGGGAAGCAAGGCGACAAAACGAGAGATTTTCCCATGAGAAATCTCACAACCACGCGTGGGAATGGGAAAAAGATGCGCTCAGTGAAAAGAAAAAGAAAAAAAAAACAAATACGAAACCACGATGCGACAAAGAGCAAAAGGAGGACACCCCGGTGGCCGGTTGGATCACACAAGATATTTTGATCTCAGGACGAGATCCAAGTGTTGTTTCAGGGGCTTTGTTGCTTTGGGAAATGGCTTGAGCGATCGCCACTGTTTGGAGGCTAAGCTGCGGCCATCGAACCTCTCGTCAAACCTCCAAAAACCCGAAACTGAGGCCATCTTTATGGGCGATGGATGTGCGTGTGCTCGCTGATTCAAAAAATCACCGGATCGCCATTCTGTTGAATGTGATTTGGGATTGTGTCTCGTTGCTGATCTGTAGATATGCAAAGGGGGGTTAGGGACAGTGCAGATTGGAAGAGTTTATTGTTCACTGTGGCAGAAGAAGTGCGAAACCCCAAAAAAAAAAAAAAAAAAATCATGGGAAAAAATCAAACCAAAGCAGCTTCTTTTTGCTTTATTAATGCCTGAATTTGTGCATGAGTTTCTTTTTTTTTTTTCTACCTCCTTTCTTTTGACATCGGACTGTGTGTCCCCTCCCCAAATTTGAACTGTGTGCCCCTCATCTTTGTGATCATCCTGCTGTGGATGCTTGATCTCGACTCGGCCATCTGATCTGACTCATTTCGAAAACAAACGAAAACCAAAAACGAGCGAGATGTGCAAATCCGGATCCGCATCCATTGTCACGCACCTTTGAGTCGCGTGGAATCACGCTGGATTGGATGGAACATCCCTCACTTCCTTGATGAGCGCGGGGCCACCACCATGCATGCATGCGTCAGAGTGCTGGATGGCGGTTTCAAGTTGCTCGATGGCTTTGCTTGTCTCTCTTTTTTCCCTTCCATGTGAAGATTGTTCCCCTTGAGCCTTGAGCCGTGTGTGTGTGTGTGTTCAGTCTGGCGGCATGTGGCGTCTCACGGCATGGTGCAACCTCACAGTCTGATTGGACCCTCGCTTTTTGCACAAACTCTCTCAAAATCACGCCCGTGTTGTGTCACTTGACATGTGAAATATTGGCTTGCATGCTCATTTCTGCTGCCTTTTGGCTGTTCTCGCGTCACAGGCTCAAGTCGATCTCCGTCTCACGCGCTTTGGCTTCAACCGTCTCGAGGAAACCGTCCGCAACCCCATTCTCGAGTTCTTGAAGTTCATGTAAGCAGGCAAACAGAGCAATCCTCGTTGTTGCCGAAACCCCTGATGCTTAGAATCCCCCACGCACTCAAACAACTCACACCACAATACGACTACTTTGCCTCATGCAGGTGGAACCCGCTCTCGTGGGCGATGGAGGTGGCTGCCATTCTCGCCATCGCGCTCTTGGACTACCCCGATTTCGGTCTGATCATGGCTCTGCTTTTGCTGAACGCCTGCATCGGCTTCTTTGAGGAGCAGAATGCCGGCAATGCTGTCGCTGCCCTCAAGGCTCAGCTCGCTCCCCAATGCAAGGTCCGCCGCGACGGCGCCTGGAAGACCATTGATGCTGCCAACCTCGTGCCTGGTGATGTTATTCGTATTCGCCTCGGTGATGTCGTTCCTGCCGACGTCAAGCTTTTGGAAGGCGATCCGATCAAGATTGATCAGAGCGCTCTGACTGGTGGGTGGCGGTTTTTTGTTCTTTCTGTTCCCCCGTCGTTCGTTTGTTTGCGCAACCACTCACTCTCCTTTTGTTGTTTTTGGTTTTTTTTCTCCTCGCGTCTCTGCCTGCAGGTGAATCCCTCCCCGTGACCAAGCACCGTGGTGCCAACGCGTACTCTGGTTCGGCTGTCAAGCAAGGCGAAATTGAGGCGGTCGTTCACTCGACTGGCATGAACACCTTCTTCGGCCAAGCTGCCAACCTGATTGGCTCTTCCAACGATGTCGGTAAGTCCACACAGCAGTAGCAGCGACAGAATGCACACGTACAAACAAACAAACAAACAAAAAACCCAACTCACTCTGACTGCTGAACATCATTCACAGGCCACTTGCAGCTCGTTCTCACGACCGTTGGCAACTTTTGCCTCGTCGTTATCGGCATCTGGATTATCATTGAGCTCGCCGTGCAGTTTGGCATGCGCGACCAGCCTTGCACGTCGAACGGCGGCACTCCCGGCTACTGCCCCACGCTGAGCAACTTGCTCGTCATTATTGTCGGTGGCATTCCCGTGGCCATGCCCACTGTGCTTTCCGTCACGATGGCGTTGGGCGCAACCCAGCTGGCCAAGAAGGACGCCATTGTCACCCGTTTGACTGCCATCGAGGAGCTTGCTGGCATGGATGTGCTCTGCTCGGACAAGACTGGCACGCTCACGCTCAACGAGCTGACTGTCGATTGGTCCAACCTGTATCCCACCCACGACAATGAGTCTGGCGACATTCTGATTGACGCTGCCCTGGCCGCGCGTGTTGAAAACAACGAGCCCATTGACGTTTGCGTGCACGAGGCTGCCCTTGAAGTCATCACCAAGCAACGCGCTGCGCACAAGACTGACACCACCACCGGCACTGCCACCGCTGCCGCGACCGAGTCCAACGCTGATGGCGCCGGTGCTGCCTCCGCCGCCGATCCGGCTGATCTGCTCTGGTGCAACTACGAGCTCGTGCACTACGTCCCGTTCGATCCCACGATGAAGCGCACGATTGCCACCCTGCGCGACAAGCGCAACGGCAAGGTGTTCCGCACGGCCAAGGGTGCTCCCCAAGTCATCTTGGACATGGACGCGCGCCGCAACGAGATTGGCACCATTGTGACGGACAAGATTCGCGAGTTTGCCGACCGTGGCTTCCGTGCCCTCGGCGTTGCGCGCTGTGCTGACGGCTCCGTCCCGCTCGAGAGCGCCACCTGGGAGATGGTTGGCCTCATCCCCTTGTTTGACCCTCCGCGCATTGATTCCGGCCACACCATCGAACGGGCGCACGAGATGGGCGTCGACGTCAAGATGATTACCGGCGATCAGCTCGCCATTGCCAAGGAGACGTGCCGTCAGCTCAAAATCCCGTCGGACATTCACACCACCGCCTTCTTCAACGACCCCGCCCAAGACCCCGAAGATCTCGATCGCCGCATCGAGGAGGCCGATGGATTTGCCGAAGTCTTCCCCGAACACAAGTACGAAATTGTCAAGCGTTTGCAAGATCGCAAGCACATTGTCGGCATGACTGGCGATGGTGTCAACGATGCCCCCGCCCTCAAGAAGGCCGACATTGGTATCGCCGTCGCTGACGCCACCGATGCTGCTCGTGGTGCTGCCGACATTGTCCTTCTTTCTCCTGGTCTCTCTGTCATCATTGATGCTATGCTCGGCTCGCGCAAGATTTTCCAGCGCATGAAGAACTATGCGATGGTAAGAAAATTGAAGAAATTGTTGTAGCTGTTGTTGTTGAAGTTGTTGCTTGCTTGAGAAAATAACGACTCCGTGACCTGTGTGCTCACAACCCCCCTTGTGTCCTTGTGTCCTTTGGGCTCGTCTCCCTTGACAGTACTCGATTGCTTCCACCGTGCGTATCGTCTTCACGTTCGGCCTGCTGACTGTCATTTACGACTGGTACTTCCCCCCATTGATCATTGTCATCTTGGCACTCTTGAACGACGGCACTGTCATGACGATTGCCAAGGACCGCGTCAAGCCCTCCATCAACCCGGATCAGTGGCGTCTGTCGGAGGTGTTTACCCTGGCCATCGTCTTTGGTCTCTGGCTGACGCTTGCATCCGTGATTCTCTTCCAGCTTGCCTACCGCACGACCTTCTTTGAGAACATGGGCTTGCGTTCGCTGCACGATGTGGATGTCCTTGGATCGGGCTGCGGCCCGCTGCTGCCGAATGATGTGGACGATTTCCGCGATGTCTTTGATCTCGTCAAGCAAGTTTTGGTCTACGATCGCACGTACGAGCTCGATCCCCTTGCCCTGTCCGACTCGACCACCTCTCTGCCTGCTGCCGCCGTCGACCAACCCCTGCTGTTCTCTTCGGCGGCCGCCAACGCCATCGGCGGTGGCACCATCAACACGCTCTTTGGTGTCATCACCCCTCTCAGTGTTGTTCCCGGCCTGTGCGACTCGCTGCGCGAGTGCCAGACGATGGCTGCTTGCGGCCTGAAGACGTACCAGGAAGAGCAACTCCGTGGCTTGATTTACATTTTCGTTTCCGTCTCCGGTCAAGCAATGATCTTTGTGACCCGCTCGCGCCGCTTCTCCTACCAGGAGCGCCCTGCCTACATTTTGATGTTTGCTTTCGTGGTGGCCCAGCTCGTTGCGACGTTCATTGGCGTGTATGGCTTTGGCGGCTACCCCGAAGGTCGCGACGGTTTCCGTGGCTGTGGCTGGGGCTATGCTCTTGTCGCTTGGATTTGGGTCATCATTTGGTACATTCCGATGGACGGCCTCAAGATTTTCACTCGCTACATGCTCGAGAAGACGCCTAAGCGCCGTGTGCGCAGGCCAGTCTCTGCGGTCCAATCGCGTCGCTCGTCTGTCACCGGCATTGAGATGCAACAGACTCCCTCCATCCTTGCTGCCGGCAACCAGCACCACCCCTCTGTTCCGCCATCAACCACCGCTCCCGCGCCCCGTCCCAGTTCGGCGCCCGCGACGACGGCCCAAGAGCCAACCACTGCTGTCTAACGAGGACATGCGCTTCTTTTTTTTGTGTTCTTTTGTTTCACGTCACATTCGCCAACTAAAGCACATTTGGTTTTGGTCGTTGTGTGGGTCGCTCGTCCTTTTCTTTTTCCGTGCGCGCACCAGTTTCGCACGAGCTCTTGCTCTAATTCTCGCCACAAATTTCCCCTTTTTCCATGTTAGGAATTGAACTTTTGATTGTTCCCTGTGTTGGGAGCTTTAATTTGGTTGTTTATTTTTCGTGCTTTTGATGTCGCAATTGTAACGGATTAGAAAAGGTTTAATTTTTCTTCAAATGAGTTTGGAAGGAGGCGGTAGGTTGTGAGTCCTCGGCGCATGCCTTTGCGGGGGGGTTGTAGATAATCTCACAAGAGACAAGAGACAGCAACTTTGGATTCTAGCTCCTCTAGCAGCTTCGAAGGAAGCAGAGGAAGGAACGAGGAGAGGTTTTCGGCCGTGCGGACGGTCAACAGCTCTAAAAACCCAACCCCTCAACCCCTCGGACCCAGAGTCTCGCAGTTGTGAGTGCATCATGTATACAAGGGCTTTTGTTGTTTGTTGGAGCTTTCTGCCATGAAAATCGCCGCAACTCGTACGTACCGTCGTCACTAGAGTGTCGTCTTGAAAAATGGGGGTTGGTGATTCTCCTGAGTCTTCTTTTGTTGGTTGAAAAATTGCATTGCAATTTGGGACGACTCCTGGTAATACCTTCCAGCCCTCTTCACCAACATTTCTCCACCCCCCTCCTCTCCGCGTCATTTCGATGACGAGTCATTTGCTGTTGTCTGTTTCAGCTTGGTTCATGCTGCGCGTCCCACAAGCACCTTCTGGACACGCAGTCGCGTTTGTCCGCTTCATGGAACCCTCGCGAATCACTGGAACCGCAACTCGAATTGACTTTCGGACGAAGCTTTATGCTTCACACTGATCACCTCCCCGCCGCGACACACTCGCTATGTCATGTTGTTGGTTTGGCTATTTCAGGTTGCTAGTTGCGACCCACAGGCATTTCTAGACGCGCCTCGGCGCGTCAGCCGTTCGCGGAACCAACTTTGAAACCGCTGGAGAACCGAACTAACCACAAACCGACATCGTCGCTTCCCGCCCTTCTTCAATGGATATAAATTTCCCAAGGCCTGTAGTGCACGAGCATACAGGCTCGCTAATGCTATGTCGTATGACCAGACATGGCTCTCTGCCAATTTTGTGTCTCCAAGCTCCTTACACCCATGTCCATGCTCCCGCTCCTTTCTCCGTGGTTTTTGAGCATTTTGATGCTTTTCCACTCTCTCCTCCCAATAAACTTAATACAAAAAAAAAAAAAAAAAAGATTCTCCTGGCCAACACGCTGACGGTCGTTGTGCGAACCAAGCCACCTGGGATCCAAGTCGCTCGCAAAGTAGCGACACAAACCCACAATGCACTGATTTCTATTGGAGCAGCTGAAACGAGCGATGCACATGTCGAGTTGCAGGCAGCCCGAACTTTGTTCGTCTTTTAGTATGAGATTACGCTGCTTTCCATCGCTAGGGGTTTGATTTTCATGTCAAGAATAATATTTCTTCTTCAATGGGGGTGGTGGTTGGCCGGTAACACCTGTCGGATCACACACACACATCGCCAGAAAGCAGCGAATTGCAGCAAAATCCGAAACATGGTGGAGCATTTTTTTGGAGGATTCAAAATGACCCTACTCCGTTCCCCTCCATGGGTTTCCACTCTACCCAAATGTTTGTTTCCATCCAGATCCACACAAATCCGTCGCTGGTTTGTCTTCCGTCACAGTTCAAATAGACGAGACTGCCTGCCCAAAAGCGGGATTCAGCTCACTTTTTGTTTTTTGACATTCAGCCAATTCAATTCCACAATGGTACTTTTTTGATGTTTTGCCATGTTTTTGCTTGATTTGTGATTCCGCCTCGTTCCGCCTTCTTGTGTTTGTGTGCTCGTCTCTTCCCTGCTTTGCTTTGATAACGCTGTTTGAGTGTCAAGTCCTGTTCGTTTGCATGAGCAGTGCTTGAAAAGCGTTTTGAAACCGTTTTCTCGTTTTTTTTTTTTTTTTTTTTTTTTTTTTTTTTGTGAGACGGTTTGTGGCGCTCCATTTTGCTGGCCTTCAACGCGCGTTGTCGTTCCGCCTCACACTCCCTGACGATCGCCTCTCGTCTGCCACTCATCACCCCTCCTTCTCTCACCCCCCATTCAACGTCCTTCGTGCTCCCCTCATCATCTTTCGCTTGCCTTCCATCCAAATCGCTCCTTTTTTTTTTTTTTTTTTTTTTTTTTTTCGTTTTTCTCCACGTTGCTTTTTTTTTTTCTTCCCTGCGTTTGGACCACTTGTCCTCCGTGTTCCGGTCTCGCTGACTGGCTGTTCTATGCTGCATGCTGCCACACACTCACTTCACTTTTGCTTGCCCACCCCCCCCTCGTTCCTCCCCACCGCATCGCAGGAGAACCAAGACATTCCCACTTTCAAGGTAAAGGCAACCTATCCATGTGTCGTTTTTTCCTTTTTTTTTTTCAATGGATTCGAATGGATTTCAATGGCTTTTTCAATGCATTTTAGCTTTTTTTTTTTTTTTTTTTTCCGTTTCACTTTTGAGACCGTTTTTTTTTCTAACTTTTTTTTTTTTTTTTGTTTCCGTTTCGTTCGTAGCTCGTCCTTGTTGGCGATGGCAGCACTGGCAAGACCACCTTCGTCAAGCGTCACATTTCTGGCGAGTTTGAGCGAAAATACGTTGGTAAGTTTGACAGCATAGGCACACAAGGGTATGAGGAAGGAACGAAAATGAAAAAAAAAAAGAGCAAGATCGCTCGCTTTCCATCAAGCTGCCCATCACAAGCGTCGTGCGCTGCATTGACTCGTGCATTATGAGGGGCGTTGTTTAGCATTGACATGCAACGCACGCAACGTCAGGGCTGCAACGCAGAGTCACACGCCGGAGCACTGCTTGAAGCAAGCTGAAGGCGGGAAAAAACCAAAAAACCAAAAAAAAAAAAAAACCGTTTCTTCGTTTTCTTCATCAGCCTTTTCCTCGTTTTATGGCGTTTTGGTCTCGCTCGTTGCACACTGTCACCCTCACCGTTGCTGACTCTGCTTCAAAACCACTTGCTTTACCCAGCCACCATCGGTGTCGAGGTCCACCCCCTCCTCTTCCACACTAGCTTTGGCGCCATCAAGTTCAACGTGTGGGACACTGCAGGCCAGGAAAAGTTTGGCGGTCTCCGCGACGGCTACTACATTCAGGGCCAGTGCGCTGTCATCATGTTCGATGTCACCGCTCGTGTCACTTACAAGAACGTGCCCAACTGGTACCGCGATCTGACCCGCGTCTGCGAGCACATCCCGATCGTCCTCTGCGGCAACAAGGTCGACGTCAAGGATCGCAAGGTCAAGGCCAAGACCATCACCTTCCACCGCAAGAAGAACCTCCAGTACTACGACATTTCCGCCAAGTCCAACTACAACTTTGAGAAGCCCTTCCTGTGGCTCGCCAAGAAGCTCATCGACCCCTCGCTCGAGTTTGTCAGCATGCCCGCCCTCAAGCCCGTCGAGGCCACCGTCGACCCCGCCCTGATCCAACAGTACGAGGCTGAGCTCGAGGAGGCGCGCAACACTGCCATCCCCGACGCCGATGACGACGAGGACATTTAAATCAACCTCGCGAATTTAGGCTGTCCATTCTGTTGTGCTTTGTTTCTTTGTCTCTATGCTTTTCTCTGTCTTATCAACACCCGCACACAGTCACGGTTTCGCGCTGATCGTGGCTTGTGGCCAACACATTCATCTCCCCCAAAACCCCGCTACCTCAAAAAGAAAAAGAAAAAAAGTTTTGAGCCAAAAAGCCCGCATACTGGAATGATGGTGCGTGTTTTGTTCGTATTTTTTTTTGTTTGTTAACCCTACCCCCCAACAATGAAACTCCATTCCTTGAAGTTACTGATGATGGCATTCTTGTTTCCAAAATTCCAGTCCTTGAAAATAACCAATATCCAATCCAATCCAAATGGTTTATAGCGATTGCAACAGCAATACCAGAGATGGAAAACAGCCATCCACCAGATAGACAAAGCTTGATAAACGCCACACGTACACAGACACACACTCCAAAAAAACAAAAACAAAACGACAAACCAGCAAAGTCATGTGCAAGCCACAACTCCAGCGCGCAATTAACGCCGCAGAATGGACGGCAAGATAATAATCAAAATGGCGATAATCAAGAGAATAACAATCATAATCTTCTTCTGTAGTAGCCAAAGGTGAGGTGCAACAAAGAGGAACACAAAAGAAGTGAGACTCATCGCATCAAAGCCACCGCACACCGCCAACCAAAATCGAGCTGCATGCACTCTCCGTACCCTCCTGGCCTTGCCCTGGTAGCGCGCAGCGTGCTTGAGTTCCTTCTTGCTCTCGGCAACGTGATCGGCAGCCTGGCCGACGTTGAACTCGATGCGATCAATCATCTCACCCTGCTGCTCGACGAGAATGGCCATGTCGAGGAAGAGCTCGTGTAGCTCGCGAATGCTCTTTTCGAGCTTGACAATGTCCTTGTGACGGTCTTGAATGTCCTCGAGAGCTTGCTGTGCCTCTGCGTGCGACATGATTTCGTTGGCAAAAATTGCGCCTGGATCGCGATCGCTGTCCAGCACCTGGTTGACTTCTTCGGCTGTTGCGCCGGGTTTGACTGTTCGTTGCAAGGGAAAGAAAAAGGGGGGGGGGCGGAAGACGTTGTAACAGTCAGAGGAATGGCGCAATCAGAGCGAGGACAAGCAAATCATTGCAAAAAACAAAAAACAAAAATCCGTTACCAATCTTTAATTGACGCTTGACACGGTCTCGGTATTTTTGCTTGTACTGGGTTTGAATCTCGTTATACTCGTTCATCAACTTGACAAACTTGCGTGACAAAATGGATTTCTGCAAACAATGAAGGAGGGAAAAAGAACGATCGTCAGATACTCCGAAGAAACCTCGAAACCAACAACGCGTTCACGACGCTCACCTGGCTCTCTTTGATACGCGTGCCTGCATCGTGCAGTTGGCTACCGGCGTTGGAGGCAATGTCCTTGTCCATCTCCTTGAGCTTCTTTCGGACTTGGTTTGCCAGCACCTGGACTTCTTGCATGAGTTTTTCCAATTGCTCGCTGGACTCTGCAAACCAACAGGCAACAAAGCAGGTCGAGTACCAAAGTGAGCCATCCCCACGATCAAATAGAAAACGGCAACAGCCCAAAAGAACCACCACCCAAAAACAAACAAAAAAAAAAAAAGCATCGAATCCAACAAAACCAAAAACTTTTGAGAGAACCGCACTTTGTGACTGCTTTTGCGAGATGGCCGCGAGTGCTTGGCCGTGCTCGGTCTCGATGCTCTGGATCTTGTATTCAATGTCGGCCATGAGGCGGCGGACGTCCGAGACCATGGCAAAGAACTCTGCCATAAACTGCTCGTCGTCCGTCTCGGTTGCGTTGCTCAGGTAGCCATCCGGCGGCGACGTCCCGCCGTTCATCCCTTGCATGGCGATGCCCTCCTGGCCGTCCGACGGGACATCGGGCTCGTCCAGCGCGAACGGGTTTGGCTCGGGCGATTCGGCAGCAGCCTACAGGGAAGCGCATGAGGCATTCCGTAACGGAAAATGGCGAGTTCACTGGCCGCGGTAAGCATCGGATAGGTCCAAAAACACCATAACATGGCTTTTTTTTTTTTTTTTTTTTTTTTTTTTTTTTCCGCGATGAGTGAACATTGCAATGGCGCGGTGTTTCGTCAAGAATGGAAGGGGCGAGCCAGCCACGTCGCCATGCAGCCACAAAACGTGGGGTTTGAGTGAATGAGCATTCGTCGTTCGTCGTTCAGCAGCGACGAGCAACGAGCAGCAGCAGCGGTGTGCGTTGTTGCGCCGCTTCCTCCTGTTCTCGATTGCGCGCCAATTCAAGCAGCAAGCCCTTTCCGTTTGCAAGCCATCCAACAGCACTCAATCCGACAACCACCTCCAGCTCGAGCGACGGTGAGCCCAGCGGGTTCTGCTGCAATGGCTATTGCTGTTCCGTTCGGTTCGTTCGTTCGTTCGTTCGAGGTTTTTTTTTTTTTTTTTTTTTTTTTTTTTTTTTTTCGATTGGATTTTTTTTTCAATGGAAATCCAATACAAAGATTTTTTTTTTTTTAAAAATGAAAATAAAAACCGCGAAATCCAATAAAACCTGAACGCTCAATCACATAGCTCAGGTGAGGCCAAACACTCAGACCGCGACGCAGACAGAGCGGCAGGCAGGGGCAGCAGCACAAAGGACGTAGTGTGATGACAACGATGATGGAATGGTCTGAAGTGGTGCGGGTGGAGTGTGGTGGTGAGCGGTACCGATTGGAGTTCGGCCAAGCGGTTTCGCATTGAAAAAAAAAAAAGTTCAAAAAAAAAAAAAAAAAAAAAAAAAAAAAAAAGAATGACCGTTTTTTTTTATATTTCGATTGAACGGATTGAACGGATTGAACGGATTGGATTTCTGAGGCGATTGTGGAATTGGAAGAAGTGAACGTCAACGTTGAAATGTGCTTGAATGGGGACCACACACACACGTAACGAAAAAAGCGTTCAGCTCAGTCTTCAACACCAAAACGTTGCTTTCAAAACCAACACAAAAATGGCAGAGAACATCTTCCTCTTTGTGCCAAACCTGATTGGTAAGCACTCAACTCCGTCTCATTCACTCATTCATTCATGCATTGCTACGCAACCAACCCTTGTCCGATGTTGACGGAAGGACGAGAGCGAGGTCGACTTTTGGCTCGCGACGTATGAACAGAGAGTTTTTTTTTTTTTTTTTTTGTTTGAATTTCCATTGCGCTTCCATTGCGCGTTTCCCCTTCCACCAAACGCGACTTTGCCACGCGCGTTCCACACTCCCCTCTCTCGCTCTCTCTTCAAAGCCGCACTCTTCTCCGCTTCCTTGCTGCGGCTCTGTGGCTGTCTGCTGTCGACGTGGCTTTGTGTCGACGCGGCGCAAACATCTCGCCATTGATCCTCTTTCTCCACTCTCCACTCTCTCTCCACTCTCCACGTCACTTGCACTCACTTGCACTCACTTTTTGCTGTCAATGTCAGGCTATGCGCGCGTCATCTTTGCGCTGATTGCGTTCTACTTGATGCCCACCGACCCGACCCCGGCCATCTTCTGCTACCTCCTCAGCGGCCTCCTCGACGCCTTTGACGGACACGCCGCCCGCGCCCTCAACCAGAGTACGTTTGGCAGCGACTTTCACATCAATCCATCCCATTGACGCTGGATGTTTCACTCCACTCAAAATTGTGCCTTCCTTATGATTTTTTTTGTTGAAACGCAGGCACCAAGTTTGGCGCCGTGCTCGACATGGTCACTGATCGGTAACAGCACCACTACAGCGACGACGACGAAGGCTGTGTGTTGACCATGTTTTTGGTTTGTACTGTCCAACTCACCAAACATCTGTTGTTGCACTCTTGGAATTTGTAGCTGCGCGACTGCGATGCTCTGCGTCACGCTGGCCGTGCTCTACCCTGCGTACGCCTTCTTCTTCCAGTTCATGATTGGCCTTGACATTGGCAGCCACTGGATTCACATGTACAGGTAAGGATGAATCAATGGCAAGATTTTTGTTTTTGTTTTTGTTTTTGGTGGCGATGTTTTTGGTGATTTGGGGTACACTAGTCGACGTCTCTCACAAAATACGTCAAACTCGATTGGTCGATTGGTAGCTCCCTCACCAACAACAAGAGCCACAAGGTGATCGATCCCAAGAAGAACTGGTTCCTCCGCCTGTACTACACCAGCCGTGTATGTGAACGAGACTTGAACGCTTTATTTGGCTTGGCTTGGCGCCCTTGCAGGATGCATTTTGCTCACCATCACTGTTTCGATCATTCTGTGATGGAATATCGCCAACAGACTGTCCTCTTCCTGATGTGCGCCGGCAACGAGCTCTTCTTTGGCTCGCTGTACATTCTCTACTTTTTCGAGGGCCCCATCGGTGCGTAGTTTACCGCAAATGCAGACGTAGCAGTTGTTTTGCTATGCTTACCCATTGAGAACCCCCCCCCCTCATTTGTTCAATTTTCCCTCGTGCGATCTGCGCTACAGTTCCCGGCGTGGCCATCGGCGTTTGGCGTCTCATTCTGTACATCTGCGCCCCTGTCTCGTTCGTCAAGAACGTCATCAGCATCATCCAGATGCTCGAAGCTTGCCACGACCTTGCCGAGATTGACGTCAAGGCTCGCCAGGACGCTCGAAAGGCCAAGTAGACGGATTTTCGTCAAAGGGGACATGTGCTGTTGCTCCTCATGAGTTGCGTGACTACCAAATTGCCAGCAATACACGAAAGTTGCGCTTAAGCAAAGTCAAAGTACAAAGGAGGTCTATGAGAGCTTTTGGTGGTTCATTTCAATACCTATCGCCCAATCAGGTGGTTTCGCGCAGCTTTATTGGACAGCAGCAACCAGCACCCTCACAAACACATCACTCGGGCTTCTCGCGGATGATCTGGGGCTTGTAATCCAAGCGCACAGCCTCGGCCAGCGATTCCGCATACAGGTCGCGGCGTTGGGTCATGGGGAAGCCCCACTTGTCCTTGACTTGGCGACACAGGTTGAGGTCGACCTCCGTCACGAGCAAGCCATCGCGGACACGCGACAGACCCTGCGTGGTGGATTGTGGATTTTTTGGGGATCAAGTGAGCGCAAAAACAAAACAAAACAACAAACAATCAAAACCAAAACAAAAACTAAAACCCCAACTTCAGAACCCCTGAAAACTAGAGCCCCTTACAGGCGTCCGGGTGCCATCGGGTGCAGTCACATAGCTCGAGCCGTAAAAGTGGCCAAAGTCCTTGTGCGCGGGCTTGCCGTCACCAGAGGTAAACTCATTGGCGAACGACTCTGTTCCGACGCGGTTGATGCCGCAAGAGTAGTACGAGTTGGCAATGGCGGCGCAACGAGCCTCGATGGACCACATGGGCTCGCTGAGCGCACCGACGGTGGCAGAGGGGTTGAAGACAATCTCGGCTCCGTTGACGGCAAACATAAACCAGTTGAGCGGGTGGTGGCGACCGTAGCAAATGTTGATGGCAATCTTGCCGAACGCCGTTTCAAACACTGGGTGGCCCGTGTTGCCTTCCATGTAGTAGGTCGACTCGTTGAAATCGCCCACGCGCGGAATGTGGTTTTTCCGGTGCTTGCCCAGCACGCGTCCGTTGCTGTTAATCACGACGGCCGTGTTCCAGATCGTGTCGTTGTGGACTTCGTCGCGCTCCAAAATGGGCGACACGATGACCATGTTGTAGCGTTTTGCGAGCTGTTGAGGCCAAGGGAGTGTGAGGAGAGGAGACGACGACAGCAACAGGCGGTGACAATGGCAAACGAAGAATGCTACTACTTACGGACTGGCAGAATTGGGTGGTTTTGCCAGTCTCAGCGGACTCTGAGAATTGGAGCCAGGGGTCCTTTTCACGCGTGCAGAATGCGAAAGGCATGGCTGCACAGCAATGAACGGGATTTTTTTTTTTGGTTAGAAATGCAAATACCACCACCAAACCCAAGGTATTCATTCTGAAGCCGAAACAAGCGACCTACTCCAAGCCTCCTGGAAGCAAACAATGTTGACGCCGAGCTGCGCGGCCGTGTCGACCATCTGTCCGATCTTGGCGTGAATTGCTTCAATCTGCAAACGCACACAAAAAGCAGAAATATACAAAAGCAACCAAAGTGAGAAAGAGAACGTTTCCCGATCCCATCATCGTGGCTTCAGAACAATCGATACGACGTTAAGCCGGAATTGATTGAATTTCTGAAGAGTTTTTTTTTTTTTTTTTTTTTTTTTTCGGTGGCTGAATAAAAACATTGAAGTGGGTCGCGATTTACGTTTACGTTCCTGCGTTTCCGCACACACACACACACACACTCTCTCTCTCGGATCGGACGACTGCGCACCACAACTGCGCCCTGAGGAAGCGTCTTTGTTACCTGCTCGAGGACTGGCGCGTCGGTGGGCAGCGGGGTTGCGTGCTGGATGAGGCCGATGCGGACGAGTCTGGGCTGGCGAACCTGCTCCTTCGTGGCGAGCGCGGCCATCGAGTAGGCCTTCAGCTCAAAGGACGCGGCCTGGGACTGCGCAGACGCCGCAACGGATGGCGCAATGGGCAGCTCAGCAACGGGCTTGCCGTACAGCACGCGGCGCACCTCGTCATAGACGGCAGGCGGGAGGTGCTCTTTGAGCGCGGATTCAACGCTCTCGAGCGACTCGCTGGACGGCTTGATGGACATTGGAAGAGAAGTGCAAAAAGGGGGAGGGGTTCAAATTTTGCAAGAGTGAGCATAACTAGTTATAGGAAACAAACAAACAAACAAACAAACAAAAAAAACTGGGATGAGCACAGAAGCTCAGAAAACTGAGAACAAGGACAACAATGGGAAAAACAAAAAACTCAAATTGGAGCCACTGGATCGCCCATACGATGCAGTATTTCATCTGCCACGCTTGCTCACCGACTAATGAGCACGAATGTCGAGAAGGGATGAGGAACAAAGACGAGGCGCAAACCAACCCAGTTTCTGAGAGCTAGATCTAGTCTCCTTTTTTTTTTTTTTTTTTTTGAAATTTCAAAAGATCTTTGAATGTTGTCCTATGATGATATGACCGAGCGACAGCGCGAGGTGTACGACTACGTCAAGAATGAGGTCGTCCTAATGTAATAGTAGGCTGCATTTATTGAAACAGTGTGATAGCGCGGTGTGGACTGACGAAATTGGAGAGATAGGCTTAGCGGCGCTCGCATGAACGAGGCAGAAGCACAGGCCGTTGTTGAAGGGCTCAAAGTGAACACGAAGCTGATCTTCCTCTCGTAAAGGATCTGACTGTGACTGAAGCTTGTGAGTGGGTAAACCAGCAGCGTGTTAGAGAGTGGCTCACTGATGGATGGGATGTGGGCACAGGCTGAGTACGAATCCTATTGCAGCGGTGACGATAGCTGACTTGCTCAGAGTGAACAAGACGATCCAGAACCTCTTGTAAGGCATTTCACTCTTATTGTTGCATGAGAATGAGTGAGAGCAAGAGGGTATTCAGAGTGGCACACTGATGGAGGAGATGGACAGTCTGCAAGAGAATCAGATTGGCGATGCTGATGCTGTGGCAATCGCTGATGCACTCAAAGTGAACACAACGCTGAATGATCTCGAGTGAGTCAGCTCTCTTTGACGGATGCATGCGAATGAGTGATTTCAGGCGAGGGTATTCAGAGAAGTGCTCACTGATGGAAGGAATGAACAGTCTGAAAGTGAATCAGATTGGCGATGCTGGTGCGGTGGCCATCGCTGATGCACTCAAGCTGAATATGACGCTGAAAAAGCTCAGGTAAGTCATCTCGCTTTGAGTGATGCATGTGAGTGGGTGATTCAAACGAGTGCTCACTGATGGAGGGGATAGACTTGATGAGAATCAGATTGGCGATGCTGGTGCGGTGGCCATCGCTAATGCACTCAAGCTCAACACGACGCTGGCAAGGCTCCTGTAAGTCCTCTCACTTTGACTGATACATGCGAGTGGGTAAACCAGCAGAATGTTGAAGAGTGCTCACTGAGGGAAGGGACGGACAGTTTGGTTGAGAATCAGATTGGCAAAGCAGGAGCGCAGGCGATTGCTGAAGCACTCACAGTGAACACGACGGTGACTGAGCTACGGTAAGGCATCTCACTGTTACTGAAGCATGAACGAGTGGGTGATTTCAGCAGCACAGGGCATTCAAGTGCTCACTGATGGAGGGGATAGACTTGATAAGAATCAGATTGGCGATGCTGGAGCGCAGGCGATTGCTGAAGCACTCAAAGTGAACACGACGCTGACTGAGCTACGGTAAGGCATCTCAATTTTATTGATGCATGTGGGTGGGTAAACCAGCAGAACATTAAAAAGTGCTCACTGATGGATGGATGGGATGGACAGTCTGCACCAGACTCAGATTGGCGATGTTGGAGCGCAGGCAATCGCTGAAGCACTCAAAGTGAACACAACGCTGATCGACCTCCAGTAAGGCATCTCACTTTGACGGATGCATGTGAGTGAGTGATCCAACGAAGGGCATTGAGAGCACTCACAGGTGGGAGGGGATTGTCAGGTTGTCTGGCAATCAAATTGGTGACATTGGAGCGCAGGCAATCGCTGAAGCACTCAAAGGGAACCCGACGGGGATCACAGTCGAGTAAGTTGCCGTGTGCTTTGCTCGTCTTGGCCGTATCTTTGGTTCCAAGTCTTCCAACTCACCATTTGGGCGACAGTCTAAACTCTAATTGCATTGATCGTGCCTTTGTTCAATTGGTTAAACAGGCACAGAAAACCAAAAACCGTGGGCTTTACCTTTCGTATGTTGGTAATTTCGAGATCATGGAGCTACCGTACTAACTGCTTTTTGTGATCGCTTGTTCCTTGCACAGCAACGACACTCAGTTCAACCCACTTGTATTCTCTTTACTTCCACGATTGGCGAGTACTGAAGACATCCAAGCAGTTCTCGGCATGCTGACCAGCGGGTTGGAGCTGGAGAATCAATCCCAATCTCTACCTGCTCTACCAACCGAGATTGCCGAGCTCATTATGGACGAAGCGTATTACTGGCAAGGCGTTCAACACGCCAAACGAATGCATGGTGACCAGCACTATACTTTGACAGTCACCGTGCCTCGGAGCGTCATCGGAAATTCGATCCGCGTGAAAACAATTCAAGTGCTTCGTGAGTGGAAGTTGTGTCCCGACACCATCAGTGACTGTGTTTTCGACTTAACTGTCCAGGATGAACAAGGTGCTGTTCGATACGAATGTCTTGTGCAGCCGACTTTCGTCGATTCAAACCTCCTCCAGCTTGCGACAATCTGGCCAGCCAATCATCCTATCCTCCGGCAAATGCGCGAGGGTTGGCAAGTTCGAGTTGCACGCAGCAAGTCTAACGAATATGTGCGATTTGAAGCGCTTTATGTCGGGTATGTCTAAAGTGCAGCCTTTGGACTAGAACGCCGTCTTTCTCAAGTGCATTCAAGCATGTTTTTGCTTTCCCGTGTCGCTTTCATTCATCCATCCATCACCTCTCATTTCCTCTGTAATAATAAACATACGAATAATAAAATCAAGTATTCGTGGGAGTCACCAGTCTCTTTTGTCGCTGCCGCTGCTCCAATGTCGGCTCAGCGAGCGCGGCTGATCTGCGCTCCCCTCGTGTCCAACTCGACCTTGTTCTCATCCCCACCGTCCGCTTCATCACCATCAACCACTGCATCATCATCATCACCATCATCATCCACTGCATCGGCGGCGGCGGCGGCGGCGGCGTCGTCCTTCCTCACGCAGTGGACTGCCATTGTCAATGACATTGTCGCTCAGTCGTCCGCCATGCTCAACCGTCGCATCGCAGCGACCGCCTCATCCTCAGCGACCGTCAATGAGCAAGTGTAAGCGCCACACCAACATCAACTGCAATCTCATTGCTTGTAGAATTTGCGATTCACTTTGCCGGCTGAATGTTTGTATTGCAATGTACATGTAGGACTGCTGCATTGGAAACGCGTGCACTTCTTGCCAAGCTGGACAAGCGGTGTGGTGACCTGGTACAGACAATAGTGCATGTACCAATGGTATTTTATCATGACTCAGTTTTGTATCGGTTTGTGTGTTTGACACGTTGCAGACGGTCGCGATTCAGCTGTTGCGGAGGGTCGATTCTCAGCTCGCAGTGCTCGTCGACTCGGACGCAGCAGCCGCCATCGCATCGGGAGCCATGCTGGAAAATGCCCAGTCCGAGCCTTACGTGTTTCCGGGATGCACGCTCACACGCTTGGGTGAGTGAGCAATTTAGACACACGCGCTCGTTCCGTCCGCAATCTGCGCTTGACTGACCGTTTGATTTCAAACTCAACCCTGCAGCGCTCATGGTCCGGGAAGTCACAGCCATGTTTGTACGCCAGTACGCGCTGGTAGTATCGTCGGTCGACTTGCTCCAAGGCACAAGCGACCGCGAACAAGGGACGGTGATTCTTTCTGCAATGCTGCACCAGCCCTACATTAATGAAAAGACCGTAACGCTGCTACTTGGATGGATTCGTGATGCCATCACCACGGAGAGCCGAGCTGTGGCGTAGATACAGGCGGAGACTCTCCCCCCCCCCCGTGTCCAAGACAAACAAGTCGAAGCCATCTCCATCCACAACGACACAAAAACCCACAAAAAATTCCAAACTCATCCGTCCGCAAGATGTTTTTTCTGCTTTCGGCTACAGTGTCACACAGCTTGATGGGCGTGTGTAGCGCACAAAGTGCAGAGGCAGCAACCCCCGTGGTTTTTCTCAGCCGAGTTGTTGACCAATGCTCCGCCCTGCTCCCCAGGTCTTCCAGCTCGTGCAAGATGCGTTGACATTTTTTTCAACCGTCCATGATGCGCTCCGGCTACAATTGGAACTCGGCATCACGACCAGCTCCTCGTTTACCTGTTTAACCCTCCGCTGAGATTTCTGGACGGTTTTTTCCCACCGTTGAAGGGCTCTTCTTCCACTGGCGAGAGTTATTCTGATTGTTTGATTCGTTCTCTGCGTTTTTGTCGCTTGCCACACCCCTCCTCCTCCTCCTCCTCCTCCTCCGCTTCCTGTCCTCCTCCTCCTCCTCCTCCTTCTTCTGTTCCTCCTCGAATGGCAAAAAGGCGCCAAATTTCACGTTCTAAAATGAATCAGTCTTTCTTCTCCTTCCCGGTTCTTGTTCATTCTTGGTTTCAATCTCGCATCGCTCTTCCATGCGACAATTCTGGGCAGGGCAACTGCTCGTGTCCATCACACTGCTGGCACTGGCGGCATTGGCGCTCGCCCAAGCGACAAACCCCATCGTGACGGAAAATGCAAAGCAAGGCACTTCCGCCTGGCGACTGACCAATCCTGCGATGAATGGCGAAATCGAAGGCTACTCATCGAGCCCCAGCGTGGCACATAGCCAGACCTTGTGGTTTTACGTGAGCACGGCAGAGCGTACGTTTACCGCCGAAATCTTCCGCTTGGGCTACTATGGCGGCGCCGGTGCTCGCTCCGTTCAGGCCTCCAGCACCTTCACTACGTTCAAGGTGAGCTCTTCGTTGGACTTGTTGGACTTGTACATGCTGTTTGCTGGAGATCGGCCGGTGTTAGTTTGGGAGAGGGAGTAGGACGCATCCTATCTAAATTTGGAAGTCGTACTTTTTTTGTGTTGTGCGAGGCTTCGTTCGTTTTCGTTGGTTTCGTTCGTTGTTTGCAATTATGTTTGTCCTTCTTGTCAACCACTGAGTTGCTTGCATGATACACTTGCTAATGTCGACACTGTCTCTCTCTCTCTCTCGGTGCTTCCATCTGCCCCTTCGCCCCCTTCGCAGCAAGCCAACTTTGTCAACCTGGATCCTGCAGTCGGCTTGCTCTCCTGCCCCTGGGTCCGCACCTTCTCAGTGACCATCCCAAACGGCTGGGTGTCTGGCTACTTTATTGTCAAGCTCACATCCAAGCCATCCGGCAAGCAGACATACATTCCGTTCACGTTGCGCGACGATTACCGTCGTGCTCAGTACTTTATCATGTCCAGCTCGCACACGTATCTGGGTACGATGCCATTGCTCTAGTTGCGCAATTTTGAAACGGTCGCTCACACCATAGGTTGCCCTTTGACAGCATACAACGATTACGGCGGAAAGTCTGCGTACGACTTTAACAGCAACAATGCCCGTTCCTACAAGGTCACGTACGATCGACCCTACGCCACCACCATTGGTGTGATTCCTGGCTCAAGAAACGTCTCTACAGACTATGGCGTTGGCAGCTCGTTCATCCTTGGTCCTCGTGCTGGCTGGGAGTACGCGTTTGTTCGTTTTGTCGAACAAGAGGTGAGCCCCGTTCTGTTTTCTCTCTCTCTCTCTCTCTCTCTCTCTCTCTCCCTCTCTCTCTTCTTGCCCCCTCTCCCCACACGCTCGCCCCCTCAACCGCCTTGACCCGGCTTCTTGAAACCCGTTTTTGTTTCTCAGCCACTTGCATCCGACAGGGCTACGACGTGATGTACTTTGACAACCAAGATCTGCACAACGGGTACGCGATTGCGCCCCCGCGATTTCGCACTGGCATTATTGTGGGACACGACGAGTACTGGTCGAATGAAATGCGCAATGCCGTCGAGGCGGCGCGCAACCAGGGCTTGAGCTTGGCCTTCTTTGCAGCCAACGTGTGCTTCTGGAAGGTCCGCTTTGAGCAGAGCCCGACGTCGGGCCAGGCCAACCGTGTCATGGTGATTTACCGCGACGCAGACAAAGACCCCTACTTTAACACTGCCAACAGCAACATGGTTACCACCCGTTGGCGTTGGGATCCCAACCCGCGCCCCGAGAATATGCTGCTGGGCGTCATGTACAACTACGACCCCGTGGTTGATCAGCCTCTCGTTGTGGCGGACGGCCTGCATTGGATGTTCAAGGGCACGAGTCTGCGCACTGGCTCCAGCATTCCTGGTCTGCTTGGCTACGAAGTCGACGAGACGTTGGGCTCCACACTGCCCAATCTTCGCGTCGTCTTTGAGTCGCCCTACACCTTCAACGAAACCCAGCTGGTTCGCAACTCGCACGGCGTCATGTCGCGCATGCCCAACGGCGCATTCACCTTTGCCACGGGCTCCATCCAGTGGGCCTGGGGCTTGGACAATGACTTGGTGACGCCGAAAGAACGCCGCCTGTACATGAACGACGACATCAAGCAAATCACCCGCAACATTCTCGCCGTCTTTGCCGACCCTCCCGCGCCCGGACTGGAGCCACTCATGTCTGCCTACAATGTCGTCGCGAACGACTGTCCCTCGGCCACGGGCGGTCTCGTTCTCAACACATTCAGCTCGGGCTCGCTCGTGGCGAACGACCTCGGTCGGGCCATGAACGACGACGGCACCATGAGCGCAAGCGTGGCTGGAGGCCGGTTGTCCCTGACTTCCACGGCAAACGGCTACTGGTACTCGATGCTTGGCAACAGCGGCGGAACTTGCTTTGACGGCTCCCTCTACAATGCCTTGACCCTGACCGTTCGAGCGCCGCCTGGGACTGACTTTCAGATTCAACTGCAATCGCGCGACAGCTCTTGCATGAATACCGTCACGTCGATCGTTTCAGCAGCACAGTACGCTCAGACGCAGGGCGGGTGGAGTGCATCCGCTGATCGCAGGTTTATCATCCCGTTCGGCGCCTTCCCCAACCTGGCGCCTGGCAAGCTGACGGCGCTCGTCCTTGCCAAAGTCACTCCTGTGGGCGCCACTGTCTCTATCGACGACGTAATGCTGACCTCGTGCGCCAGCATGGGCGAGAGTGGACCCATCTCCCAGCCACCGGTCGATAATCCGCCCCGCGTTTGCAGCTCAAGTGCGCTCGCAGTGGACACGTTTGCGAATGCCAACATGGAGATGAATGATCTGGGCTTGTACACTTCCGATGACGACACCATGACAGCCATGTCGCTGAGCAGCGGCCAGCTGCGCCTGACTGCGCCCGACCCTGGCGCGTACTGGTACACCCTGCTGGCCAACGCCAATCAGTGCCGCGACATGTCCAGTTACGCTGCCATCCAATTCTCCATCCAAGCCCCCGTCGGAACCAAGCTCATCTTGCAGCTGCAGTTCCGGAATGACCGCTGCAAAGGCTGGGAAGGCTCCAGCGAGCTCCAGCTCGCAGGCTTTACCGGTGCGCAGCAGACTATTCGCGTCCCCTTCACCGACTTTGACACGGCAGTGCCTGCGTCTCGTCTGTTTGCCGTGTCAGTGTTTGGTTTGAGTGGCAGTCCTGCGCCCATCAGCATTTCGCTCGACGATCTGGTATTTGCCTGCTAGGAGAACGCGACTTGTATACTTTTATCGATACAGCATGCTTGCATCTTTCCTCTGTGCTTCTCAGATTAGTGTAGTCGAGTGATCTAGATTCACCTACAGGGTGGAGCGTTTTTTTTAACGGGAGTGCATTTGGCGTCAGATTCAAGGTTCAAAAAGACATGCGCATCCGAAACGCGTGGTCTTCGTGAAGGGGCAACAAAACAGCGACGGAGAGACTCATTCGCCCCTGAATGATTGAGATTCGAGCGAGCAGACACGGACGCTCCTGCCTTTGTTGGCAAGTCGAGCCAGATGGACGAAGGCGTCAGACGACCGCATTTTACTGTGCTTCCGGAAATTGGAACGCCATCAACATTGGCGCGGTCATCTTAATCTGCGATTCTGCACAGAGTTGATGAGACAACAAAGCAGGTCCTTTGAAGTGTAGTCCTGGGGGGCAAAGTGGCGTCTCGCAGTGCGCGAGTCGTCTGGTGTCCTTTACGCCGATCCTTCACCGCCAAATGCTTCGTCAGTTCGTGAGTCGCCTGCTTCCACGTCGACTACTTACGCGACGATCGATGTCGCATCTTCGACGCCCAGCGGAAACGTCGAATACGCTTAAATTGCAAACCCGTCTGTCGGTTCTTGTGGTCAAAAAGCCGTCTATTTGTCTCGTCTGCGATTCTCCGTCTTCTTGCATGACTTTCTTTGTTTTTCTCGTGCCTCTTCCACTTTGATCTTTGCTTGGCTTGATGTTCAATTCGACAAGTCTTGTCGTTTTCGAGCAGAATGCCCTTTTGTCTACTTTTGCACTAGATTTCTGGTGACTCTGTCTTTGTGGTTTTTGAGCTTTAGAAGCTTTTCCACTCTCCAATAAACGTAACACACAAACACTTTGAGCGAAAGGACAAGCTGTCACGCCCGCAAGATGGACGTAGAGAATGGGTTGCAAGCACTGTAGAGGGACACTGAACGTTCACCTGCCGTCACTCTGCTGCTGCCCCTCCGCTGGTCACGGACGCTGTTGACTAGAACACGTGCAACTTGTATGCGATGACGTGGCTGCTTTGATTGGTTGTTTCGTTGGAGTACATTTCGCTGCGCTTTTACCATTTTAAGTGGCTGGAGTACTATCCCCCGAAAAAGTTCGTGAAGAATGGTAGTTCACTATGTTCCGGCACCCATGCCCCACCCTCTCCCCCTACAGTAGTTGTCAGACCTTGTGCACATACAAAATACACTGTCATTTGGAAGATTGAGCTCCGTCAGAGAAGGAGGGAGGCCGAAAAGAAGAAGTTTTGGCAATTTGGTTTCACGAAAAATTTGCCACTTTTCAATCAATTCATGCTTTCCACCACCAAAATCACGTCATTCCGCTCCACCCTCTACCCGCACACTGCACAAGTGCTTAGCATCACCTCCAAAACCCAACAAGGCGTGTTTGGTGCCGTTGATGGAGGGAAGGCCGGGCCCTGGGATCATGTGTGTTAACGTGAATGCTCGATGAGAGTACAGCGTCCCTCGGCCCGCCATCGCCGCCCAGATTGGTCTGAAGTACCGAAGAATGTTCAGGTACACTCGTGTGTGCAAGGCGGGCGGCAGGTTTGCAACTAAGCCGAGCTTTGGCTGAAAACTCGAGGTTACTGCCCAATTTTGCCCCCTTTTTCCAGCTCAATTTCAGTCCGAAGAGTCCCGCATTGCCTCTTAGATCGCCGCTTTTACCCTCAAAATAACGACAATGATGTCATCTACAGCTTATGCTAAAAAGGAACTGGGTAGGCGGGGGTTCAAGTACCGAGTCAAGTACGAAAAGTCGCGGTCGCCGAAAATGCGAGCAAAACAAGATTTTTGCTTCGCCAAACGGCATTTGCATTATGCCGCCAAGCAGTGGCTCAACGTCATTTCCTCGGGCGACACTGCTGTCCGGGTATAGCAACGCATGTGTTCAAACATGTGCGCATGAAACCGGGCAGCTGCTCGACCACAGGGTCGTCCAGCCGCAAGTGAAATGTGGAAAGGTGGCAAATTGACGATTTTCCAAAAATTTCTCGTTTCGCCGTGTCCCACTTTCGTGAGGTCGGAGACCGCATGAACTCGCTCCCCTATCTGTCCTTTCTCAATGATGAGTTGAAGTACACCCGTTGCACATCACCAGAGGGTAAAAACTTCGTATCCCATCAAACCAATGCGCCCTGGCACAAGAAAGAGGTTGTGACCAGGTGGTTGAAAAACCACAAAGTCGAAGTACCCGGCTAGCCTCCCAACTCCCCCGACCTGTATCATATCGCAAACTCATGTACCATGGTCAGGAAAGAAAACTACCAAGGTGCAGAGACGACGGACCAAGTCGTGGTTCGAGAGTGCTTCCGAAACGTGAGCGACAAAGTGCTCAGTCCAACACATTACATCCGCCTCATAAGCTCTATCACCGAGAGCATCCATGCATTTTATGATGTGAGTCATGATTATGTTTGTTGTTAAAGTGGTTTGGTTGGATTGAAATGGGTGGAACGGGCGGTTATACCGCAAATTTTGAAAAAGTAGAGAAATTTTCAGATTTTGTTCTTCACAACAATCGCAATTTTTCTCGTCTCCTCCTTCACATGCACATTGGATGAGGCAAATTTTCGATAAAATAGTGTCAGCCACACAGCACCCATCTATTAATAAAGGAGCGGGCTCGCATGGAGGAGGGGAACATAGTGGAATGCCATTCTTCACGAACTTTTTCGGGGGATAGTACTTGTTTTGTTCTTCTGCCGTACTTAAACCAACCTCCAAACGTCTGCCCATCGTCACTCTTCATTCTAGAATGGTATTCACCACTACTCTTCCGCTCACTCCAACGCACGGGGGCATTGACGTTTGCCTGCTCGACACGGCCGGCAAGATTGCTGAGGTTGTCGCGCTGTTCAAGAGCAACGCCGTGACCACCATCGCCGTCGACATTGAGGGTCGCAACCTGGGACGCGGAGGGCTCATTGCAACAATCCAACTGCACGCGCCAGAGTCGCCGACAACCGTCTATGTCGTCGACGTGGTGGCGGTCGGGGCAACCCAAACTTTCTCGCACGAAACGGGTTTGAAAGAGCTGCTCGAGTCGAGCCAAGTCACCAAGCTCTTCTTTGACGTTCGCTCTGACGCCAATGCCCTCTTTCACCTGCACGGCGTTCGAATGTCCGGTGTTTGACACACCTGACAGGCCTTGCCAAAGTCATCCAGGGCCTCTCAACTTCTTACCTTTCTTATGCTGCGCGCAACCGCATGGACTTGAACAAGCGAGAGGCGCAGCGATTGTTTGCGCCCGAACAGGGTGGCTCGTACGATGTGTGGTTTACTCGCCCGCTTTCCGCCATCCTCATCGAGTACCTCACAGACGTGCACATCTTTTCCCATCTCTTGACCGCCCTGCTTCCGGAGGACCAGCGCGCCATCCATCGTCCTGCCATCGAGCGTGCCTCGTCCCGCCGTTTGAATATTGCGCACGCGCTCGACTTTTCAAAGGACAATTCCCGCAACAAGCTCGTCGACGACGAGCCCTTCATCGACGAGATTGTTTCCAACTGCTCGAGTTCTGTCCGTACCAGGATTAGCAATGAACGCGCTGAACTTCTCCGCATCCAAGCGCTCCCAGTGAAGGACCGTGTCAGAACACGGGGCGGCGGACCCAGTGCCATGCAGGAGGTGTCGGAAGCTCTTCGTGGCCACCGAACAATCCAGCCGGTCATCCTCTGGGACGTGGTCCAGTTCATCTGTGCGCACAACCGCTGGTTTTCGTCGGAAGACTATATGGCGTTTCTCGAGCTTGCCATGAGCAGCTACTACCTCACCATCAAGCAGCGGCAGACCTGTAGCGATTGGCGCTCGCGTAACGGTGCGCACAAGAACCAGCGCTACACCGACGATGAGTGCTACGATTACGATGATGCCGATTCTGACTGACGCGAAGGTGTTTCGATCGTCGTTGGAGCAACCGAAGAGCGTTTGTTCTCGCTTGGTTTGGTTGTGAGTTGTTGTCGGTCAAATTGAAGAATCAGTCTGAGAGTTGCAGCTGTCGTCGTTCCTCTTGTGTTGTCTTTTGATGTGCGTACACTAATTCGCATTCGTAGTAGCAGCAGTGCAAATGCAAATGGGTGATCTCAGTCAGTCCTGATCTGTTCAAACCTGAGCAAGGCAGCGAGCGAGTTGGAATTGAAGTGTGTTTTCTCAACTCATCCACCAAACACGCCGCCAGACATGCATCACGGACGAGCCCCCCGCTTGTTGTCTCTTGTCACATCTATTCCGGCCAATCGGACTGCTTTCTACAGGAGACGAAGCAGCGGGACGAAGAAGAAGAAGCAAATCCACAATTCACACAAACAGGGGGAGCAAGGCCGGTCTGTGCACCACTACCACCCACCCGCATCAACACCCAGGCTTGGGCATCTTGCTCTAAGCGTGTGTGCTGTCTGCATTGGCCGTGTGCTTGAGGCTTGGCTGGTTCAGCGCCAACGCCAATCTTTATATTTTATGGATTGTTTTATTTTTTATTTTTTATTTTATTTTATCGCTGCGCTTGGCAGGGCTGCAATAGTATGGCGCTTTGACAACATGCAGATTTTCATTACGACACTCCACTAGCAGCAGCAGCAGCAGCAGCAGCAGCAGCAGCAGCAGCAGCAGCAGCACCGGCGCTGTGATGAGAGTGACGCGAGCACACGACCGCACTCCACAAAAAAAAAAAAAAAAAAAAAAAAAGTCGAAAATTTTGGCACTCAATCTGTAATTCTGTCGAATTTGGTCGCTTCTCACTTTACTTACTCTTTTGACCGCTCGATTGACCTTTGGTAGAGTCTTTGCACCCGAGGGCTTTTGCTTTCTCAACCAACCAACCAACCAAACAAACAAACAAACAAACAAGCAAAAAAAAAAAAAAAAAAACCCGCTAGCTCGAGCGACAAACTTTTGACCCTCCCCATTCGTCCAACCATGCTCATCAAGGAATACCGAATCCCGCTGCCGCTCACGGTGGAGCAGTACCGCATTGGCCAGCTGTACATGATTGCGAAAAAGTCGCGTGAAGAGTCCGAGGGTGAGGGCTCTGGCATTGAAATTCTCGTCAACGAGCCGTACGAGAACGGACCTGGCGGCAAGGGCCAGTTTACCCGCAAAATCTACCACGTCGGGCGCCATTTGCCCAGCTGGATTAAGGCCGTGCTGCCGAAATCCGCCTTCATTCTGTACGAAGAAGCGTGGAACGCCTACCCGTACACGCGCACCAAGTACCAGTGCCCGTTGGTCGACAAGTTTGTCCTGGACATTGAGACGCGCTTTTACAACGACGACGGCAGCCAGGACAACGTGTTTGGGCTGTCCAACTCTGAGCTCAAGGAGCGCACGGTCGACTTTATCGACATTGTCAATGACAAGGTCGAAAAGGACTACAAGCCAGAGGAGGACCCGGGCTTGTACGTGTCCAAAGTCACCCAACGTGGCCCGCTAAAGTCAGACTGGGTCAAGACGGCAACGCCACTCATGTGCGCCTACAAGGTCTGCCGCGTCGAATTCCGGTACTGGGGCCTGCAGTCCAAGATTGAGCGCTTTGTGCACCAAGCAGCCATCCGCAACGTGCTCTTGCGTGCGCATCGACAAGTCTGGTGCTGGCAGGACGAGTGGTGGACCATGTCCATGGAGGACATTCGCGCCATGGAGCGAGAAACACAGGCAGCCCTCGCACAGGTCATGACCAAGCGATTGGAGGATGGCGCAGAAGCGGGCGAGTCAGAAGAAGCCGGAGAGGCTGGAGCACATCCCGCCAGTGCCGCTTCTGCCGCAAATCAGCAGGCTCAACTTGCTCTTCCGGCGGCGTCCTCGTCGTCGGCAACGAGCGCAACAGCCACGCTGACTCCGGCCTCGCCTGCTGGTGCCCTTCCCGTCTCCGCCTTGGACGTCGAATCGTCCCAATTGTCCATGCTGCACCGCGTTTCAGTTTCGACCGCTGGCTCCTACGCGAGCCTGAGCCAAGGCAGCGATTCGAATGATGAAGATGAGTTCTTTGACGCTGCAGGTACAGTGGTTTTTAAAGCAATGGTGGTTTTTCGTGCGTCGGTTTTTTTTTTCATTTTTTCAAGCACTGTCCCCCAACTCACCACGCTGTCGGTTGTCTTCCTTCCACGCGTTAGACTCTTTTGAAACACTTCAAGTTGAAAATGCAGTGCACGCACACATGCAAGCGTACGGATCTGACTTTGAAGGGGAGGAGGAATCTCCTGTGGCGCCCGTCAAGGCAAAGGTGTCGCGTGTCCCGTGTCCCAAGCATGCCCCGCTCTGCCGCGACGTCCTCTGCCGGCTCCCACGCGGCTGCAACTCCACAGCACTTGGTCCTCGTTGTGGCACCCCACATGCTCATTGAAGAATCCAATGAGCTCGACGACGTTCACAACGAGTTTGACACGTTCGTCCACACGCTGCACGCCGTCGTGCATACACACTACAAGGATGACCAGGGCGCGATTGCCCTGAGGAAGATCCGGTGCCAACCTGTCGGTTCGGAGGCCCAGAGTCTGCTCGAGTCGATCGACCCCAGCTCGGACGGCTCAGAGTACGCCCGCGCGGCTGTGCTGGCGCTGTTTACAGTCAGCTCGGCGCAGTTTGTCCAGCGCGTGTCCGACCTTGGGCGCGAGGCAGCTCGCGTGTACAAAGAGTTCAAGGCCAGCCATCCTTCGTTCAACGGCACTGTTTCCATGGTGGGCGACTCTGTTGGTGGCCTGCTCGCGCTCGAACTGCTGTCCCAACGCATCATCCCGGAGCAGCAGGCGCCCGTCACCGTCGAATCGTCTCGCCCAAGCACCAGCAATGCAAGCAGCGCACCTTCAAGCATGAACTACATTTCGGCGTTTGTCGAGCCTGCCATCATGCTTCCGTTCCAAGTCACCAATCTCTTCACGTTTAGCTCTCCCATCAGTCTTGTTCTAGCCTTCCGAAACCAAGCCAAGGGTGAGCGCTCAATGCCGCGGCCAGCATGCCAGCAGTTGTACAACCTCTACCAGAGCGTGGATCCCACAGCCTTCCGTATCGAGCCCTTGTTGGACGCGCGCTTCAAGAGTGTGCCGCACATGACGGTGCCTCGTTTCCATGCCTATCCCTGCGGAACTGGCGCGCCACCTTCCCTGTCGAACAGCGTGCGCGAGCACAAGGAGCTTTTTGGCTCGAGCAAGGCAGCGGCAACTTCGGCCGGTTTGGCCACCCACTTGTTGGCCAGTCACTCGAGCGGGCACTTGAATTCCGCCGTGTTGGATGCGCTTGCGCAACAGTGGTGGGGCGAGCGGCGCGTTGACTACGAAGTGTACTTTCCCAAGGGCATCGAGTCCTTCCCCCGTAGCGCGCTCATGCACATTCTCCACTCGAGCTACTGGGAATCCAAGGACGTGGCGGCGTTCATTGTTCGCGAGGTGCTTGGGCGCGCCTCGTATCTGCCTCCGGCAGTCAACCAGCCAGTGACGCGCCTCTCGATGCGCCAGAGCTCGCAGGGGAGCCAACGCAAGGGCCTTGTGCTTGACTCACCCGGCCCGCATTCTCCGGGCTCAGTCTCGTCGACTGTTCCTTCTGTGGAGGACGACGACGATTCCGACGACGGTGGCTCGCAACCGGGCTCGGCACGCGGTAGTGATGCCAGCCTCGGCGACCGGCCAAAGTGGCGCCGCAAGCGAACGTGGTTTAAAGTCAAGGGGCGTGTCCCCAACCATCGCGCGCCGGATGTCGTGGCGCTCGATGCACACGACGTGCATCAGACACTGTCGGCAAAGTTCATGTACGGCTCGTTCGATCTGAATGCGCTCACCGGCGAGGATGTGGACGTTTTCATCATGAGCGACCCGCTGAACAACGAGTGGTGCTACCTCGACACGGTGCGCACCTCTAAAACGGGTACCATCACGTACGTCCTTCCTGAAGAGCGCAAAATGGGCGTCGGCGTCTACCCGGTGCGGATGATTGTGCGCGGCGATGCGTCGCTGGCCGAGTGCAACCTGTTTATTGTGCAAAAGCACACACGCGCCGTGGTGTGCTCCGTGGACGGCGCGTTTGCCGCATCCACGACCATTTCCGGGGCCGATCCGCGCATCCAGCCTGGCGCTACAGACGCCGTCCGCTTTTGGGCCGATCGCGGCTTTTTGATCATGTACGTCTCGGCTCGTCCCGACATACAGTTGCACGGCGTGGTCGCGTGGATGGCACGCCACAACTTCCCGCTCGGTGTGATTAGCCTGCGCGACTCCTTGTCCAAGGATCCCGCCAAGCAGAAGATCAAGTACCTCCGCGCGCTCAGGGACGCTACCGCGCTCGAGTATTTTGCTTGCTACGGCTCGAGCAAGGATGTTGCCGTGTATGCCGCGCTGGATATTGAGCCGTCGCGCACGTTTGTCATTGGCTCCAAGCAGCCGAAGGAAGGCTGCGTCGTCATGATGGACGGCTACTCGGACCACCTGACGATGGTCAAAGATCAGGCGTTGGCTGATCTGGCCATTCGTCCAGTGTCTCAAATTGGCCAGCCTTCGGTCGTGACGCGCAAGCACATCTTTTTGCACCAAAGCCCCAGCGAAGAAGAGGCATCCACCCAACTTCTCACTGCCACCGGCTCTGGCACGTTTTCGGATCCTGGTGGCAGCGGGAATGTGTCTCCTGCTCCCACCGGCGACCCGAGCGAGCCTCGTCGCAAATCCATCATCATGCGGAAGATGGGAACGTGGCGGATTAGTCGTGCCGGCTCGTATGACGGCAGCGAAGAAGAATCTGGCAATCATCCAACCGCCACCAAGCTCTCGCATTGAGAAGGGGGCTTTATTTCTGTTTATTTTTTTGGACGTTGGTGGTTTGAGATTTTTGTAGTCTTTGTTGTTCTCCATCCTTTCCGTCCTCCAATCCAATCGCTTGTGTTGATTGGGCTATTGTCTGCTTTCGATTGACTGCAGGATTTGCTTCTTCAACGAGCTTTGTATTTGAAATGCAAACAACAACAACAAAAAAACCAAACAACGACCAACAACACAAAAAACAAAAAATGTTACTGTTGCTTTTTGTGTCCGTTGCCTGTTGGCTTAAAGCTCGTCCTTCTTGTCTTGCATCGTGGCGTGGCTTGCCTGCGCCAGGCTCTCACGGAAGGCGGTGAGCACCTTTTCATAGCGCTCGGGATCAAGACGAGACGCAGTTTCCATGCACTCCATAGCAAGGTCTAGTTTGTCGAGCTGCTTGTAGATGACTGCCAAAGACGCGTGCACGTCAGGGCGTGAGTCTTTCACAATCTCGACCACACGTCGCAATTCGACGAGGCCTTGGTCAAGTGTGTCTTCTCGCTCTGTGAGAAGCGCGCCCAGATTGAAATGCAACCGGTGGTCTGTGTCATCGTTGGCAATGCCTTGTTTGCACAGCTCAATCGCCTCGTCCCGCTTGTCAAACTTCACCAGCAGGGCCATCAGGTTGACGTAGGGCGGGGTGAATGCCGGATCCAGCTTGATGGCATTGCGGTAGAAGGCCACCGCCTCGGCAAAGTCGAGCGTCTGGTTGTCTGCACGAAGAGCGCGAGAGGGCACATCGGGCTCGTGGCTACCGATAAAGTGATCTTCCCAGACCGGCTGCGGCGGATAGACGCGTTCCTCCGGTGGCTGCTGCTGCTCATCGACAGTCGTCGTCGTCGTCGTCGTCTCCTTGTCTTCCTCTTCAACGGTCGTGCCGTCGCCGGTTTCAGTCGTTGATGCGGGCGTTTCGGCAGATGTCTCAGGCTGATCAGCAACTGCATCGGCGTCAACATTGGTGGATGAGTCCGAGTCGACGGTTGTTGTTGTTGTTGTCGTCGTGGTTGCTGGCGCTTCCTGCTCCTTTCTGGGTTTGCGGACGGTGGGGTTTTCGCCGCGGAAGGCCAAGCAGCGGGCGAGATTGTAGGTAGCATGGACATTGTTGCGATCGAGCGTGAGTGCGTTGTCAAAAGCACTGATTGCACCGTCAATGTCGCCCATCTTGTAGGTGGAGGCACCCAGCAAAATCCATGCGTCCGTGTTGCTGGGATCGGCGTCGAGTGCTCGCTTACACCAGCGTGCAGCATGATCAATGTGGCCAAGAGCATGCAGAATGCTGCAGAGGCCAACGCACGTTTCGCTGGCGTCGGCGCCCAGCTTCATGTTTTGGTTGGTGACGGCGTCTGAAAAGACCTGCAGCGCCCATCTCAGATGGTCGGGCGTAGGGTCTGCCGAGTAGGCATAACCGAGACGGTTGAGAGCCTTGGTCCAGCCGCCCTTGATGTGGGATGCCTGCATGTAGAAGCGCACGGCCAAATCCAAGCGACCGACAACCTCGAATCGCTCGCCGAGCTTGAGGTGCATCCAGGCCCAGCGGTCGATATCTTCCAGCGTGAATGTATCCGGGAACTCTGGTCTGCGGAAGATGATGTCTTCCGTTTCGTGGTGTGGGTCCTGTTCCTGCTGCTGCTGCTGGTTGTTCTCGTTCAGGTTGCTGCGACCATGGCCATCGCTGACGAGGACCTCGTAGTTCCTGAGCACTTTGGGATCGTGTTCCTTCTTCTTCTTGTTCCACTCGCGCTTGGCCCGCTCGGTCATGGGCTCCTTCGGGTCGATTGGCGCCTTGCCACGTATGGCAGCTTCAAATCGGACCGTGGCAAACACTGCCAGCGCGTCTTCAACGTCCAGCTGTGGCGCGTTCTCGCCGACATCCGCGCGAACCTGTGGATACGGGTGTGTGTGTGTTTGAGAAGTTTGTTTCGAGAAAGGGGAGGGTAAGGGGTGGTGGTGGGGGTTACAGGTTAAGTGAAGCAACATCGCAGCGGATGCGCCATCGAAGGACTCTTCTCTCTCTCTCTCTTCTCTCTCTTGCGTTGCTATAGATCAGCTCGTTCTGTCTCTCTCTCTCTCGCTCTCTCTCGCATCATCATCGTGACTATAGATCAGCTCGTTCTGTCTCTCTCGCTCTCTCTCGCTCTCTCTCGCTCTCTCTCTCTCTCTCTCCTTCCGTTGGTACCTTGGCGAGCAGCCGATCAATCGCCTCCTTGCTGTGCAGCAGCACCCGCTGGTCCAACTCGTCCATGCGGTTCTCCTCGCCAAGCAGCTCGCGCTCGTCCAGTCGGTTGCGTCGCAGGCCGTGGTTGCCGACAAAGATGCCCGCCTGCGCAATGTTGGCTGGCGTTGGGGGCGTCACTTGGATGTGCTGCTGATCGTCCACCGTCGTCGTCGTAGCAGCAGCAACAGAGACCACTGCGCTACTCAGAAGCAATACCGCAGCCGCGAGCACAAACGCGCTGCGATCGCGTCGTCGCATTGTGATGAGAAGAAGACAAAAAGAAAACTGAGAAAACTGAGAAAACTGAGAAAACTGAGAAAACTGAGAAAACTGAGAAAACTAACTGAGACAGCAAGTGAATGAACAAGACATAAAACCAAAAGAACAAAGGAGAGCGATTCTTTGACTCTACTGTACACTGTATTGTATTGTTGTTCGCATCACACACACACACCATGTCATTGCGGCCGAGGAATGCTCGAGAGCGCGGCAAGAACATGCTCAGAGACAGTGTGCGCGCTGGCCATGCAGTCGTTGACGCTGACGCCGCCGAACGCTGCGCCGGCGAGATGGAGACGATGGCCAAAGGCGGTCTTGAGCTCGGAGCGAATGTTGTTCACGCGTGAAACATGTCCCACCGTCGGCTGTGGAATACAGTTCTCGAGGAAGCGAACATGCTGACTGAGTGGCTTGACGGGAGCGACGCCAAGCTGAACAAAAATGTCACGCAGTGCCAGGTCACACACTGCATCTGCTCCGTTGCGAACGGCCTGATCGAGCTCGGCGGAATACGAGCTACCGCCCATCATTGCCTGATGAGCAAATCGCCAAAAGAAAACCAAAGAGTGCGACGAATTGAGCAACAACTTGCCCGTAACGGGCCAAACCTCAGTCAATCCGCTCCAACTCACAGTAATCTTGACAAGCTCAGAGCCTTGGTGCATGTCAAAGACGCACGAGTCGAAAATGACGCCAATCACGGACGACGGCTGGCGAATCGGGACGAGATACCCAAAGCCAGTGACGGGTAACCGAAAGTCCTTGGCCGCAAACACCATGGTCGCAGTCACGACATTGACGCTCGACATTTCACGTAGCTTTGCAATGGCGCGCTGAAGCGCAGCGTTTCCCGAATCGCTGGCAGAGGTAGATTGCTCCAGCACCTTGATAAGTGCCCCTGGCTGCAAGGACGATATGACGTGTTCGGCGTGTGTAGCAGTCGAGCCATCTTTTCCAATAGTCTGCAGCTGCAATCGTTGTTGGTTGAACGAAAACGAGTCGAAAGGAAATGGGCGTCAGTATGAACAACAGGGTCCACCAACCAACCAACCGTGCCCTTGCCTCGCACACACCACAGCTCAGACACAAAGCTCAGACACCTAGTTGCCTGTCGTGATTTGACAAAGTCACCACTCTTACGTACTTCAATGCCGTCAGGAACGAGCTTGAGCGACGAAACTGCCGTCGAGCGCGCAAGACGAACGCCAGCGGCGCTCTCAAGATGCGACTCGAGCGCGCATGGCAGGGTCTTCAACCCTTCACGAAACGAAATCATGCTCACGCCTCGGAAGCTGCTGACAAACGCGGGATGCTCGGCAGTGCGTTTCGGCGATTTGGCGCGAAGCATGCCCATCACGACCGATCCGTAATCCCGCTCCGCCTGGCCCAGGAATGGGAAGCACGCATTCACACTGAGCTCTCGAGCATCTCCAGCGTAAATCCCGCGACACAGCGCCGTTGCGAGCGAGTCGGCAATCTCGCCTCCAAATCTGCGCGCGAAAAACTGGTGCACGGATTCGTCCTGATCTGGCGCGAGTTCGCCGTGATGGACTGCTCCAGCAGCAGTAGCAGCAGTAGCAGCAGTATTAGTAGTAGTAGTATTACCAGCAGTTGTCGTCGTGGTGGTTATGGATGCCCCGAGCGTCGGGCGGCGCGGCCGGAATGGCTCTGCAGCGCCGCGAGCGAGCAGCGTGCGCCCCATGCGCGACCCGATCAGCGCGCCGAGTGACGCTGGCAGCGCAACGAGTGCGTCTTGGTCGTAGAGATACCGCTTGGAGGCGGCTGGGCTCGAGGCGGGGACGCGGACCACCTGGTCGTCGATGCCCAGCGCGCAGATGAGATCGAGCGTCGCCTCGCCGACGGCCGCCTTGGGTCGGATGCTGCGCGGCCCGTGCTCGAGCAGTGCGCCGGTCGCGGGGTCGCGGGTCGTGTGGATCCAGCCGCCGAGGCGGTCGGCGCGCTCAAAGAGGGCGAGGCGGGTGTTGTTGCGTCTGAGCGGATGCTCAGACTTCTCAGACTGGTGGTGGAGGGGTGCCAGGCGGCGCGCAGTGTAGTACGCAGCAGCGAGGCCAGAGATGCCGCCCCCGAGCACGGCCACAACGGTGGTGGTTGCCTGCGCTGCAGCGGAAGTGGCAGACGAAGCTGCAGAGAGGGACATTCGGCAGGAAGAAGAGTGAAGAGGAAGAAGAAAGAGTGGGGAAGCAAAGTGAAAAAGCGAGAGAACAAGTTAGTTGGAAAGCAGCATCCAAACTGAGCTGCAATCATCATCATCATCATCATCATCATCATCATCATCATCATCATCATCATCATCGTTATCATTATTATTATTGTCAACAAGCAGCATCGACGCTGAAGAAGAGGGAAGCAGCGGGAATCGGAGCCGGTCAAGGAAACTGAGACCTCTCAAACTCGTTCTTTTTGTTGCCTTTTTTTAACAGCTTGCTCAATGCTGCTGCTGCTGCTGCTGCTGCTGCTGCTGCTTCTGATGATGGACCATGTTCCCCTCTGACTGATCTCGTCCTCGAGCTGTATTTTCCCCCTTCGTTCTCTTAGAATTTTGCTTAGAATTTGCTTGTCTTCCTATTTCCCAATATTCCTTCACCATTCCCTCATTTTATTTCCGCCCCCCTCCTCCTCCCTATTATTTACTCTTTGACTTCACTCTACTTTTCATCTTCACTTTACTTTCAAGATGGCGGATCCGCTGACGTTGCTGCGCGACTTTACGCAGAGTGGTCGCGCAGTGCAATCGGTCGACTCGCGGCTCGTCTTTGGCAACCTCGCCTCAGAGCGATCCACGCAAACCAACTTTAAGCGCACCGGCGGTACGAAGTTGCAGTTTCGCCTGTGGGGTGATGATGTGTGATGAGGGTGATGAGGGTTAGGTGAGGAGGAGCAGCAAGCTGCAATGGAGAGATCGCTCACTTGCTTGTACTTGGCTCTTGTCTCTGCTCCCCCCCCCCACACTCCCCCACTCCGCTTCACTTGCTCACCCCACCAAATCATTGAACATTGTGAACAATCGCATTCGCGGGCGCGCGTTTGGGTTTTTGTTCCGGCTCGCTTTCCATTGAACTCGCATTGTACTAATGCATTTGCATTGGACTGCATTGGGACGGGGTTCAACCTCCCCCTTTCGCTCCCCCTTTTTGCACACTTTCGCTGTCGTCGTCGTCGTCGTCGTCGTCGCTCATCGTCATGATTCAATGTGAACGAATTGCTCAAAACACGACCCCTGAAACGTCGTTGCTCCCCCTTCCGCCCGCCCCCCCTCCTTCTTCATTGCTCGTTCGATCGTTCGCTATAGGCGGCTACTATACACTCGATGCAATCTGGTTCTTGCTGCAGAACGCAGACAAGGCGACGGCGCAGTTCGGTCAGTACATTCGCGATGCTCAGGCAGCAAACGTCCCCTCGGTCGCGCTCATGGACCGCAAGGACGTCCTCTCGTACATTCGCGGCGAGATTGCAACCACCCCAAAGCTCGACTTGAACGCTTTCATTGCGCCAGCCGAACCCTACGTCGGCGCTGCTGGTAAGCCCCAATTTTGAACGGCTCGAGAAGATTCAGTTGATGAATCGCTGAATATTGCTGCTCGTCTCTTTGTAGCGACTCGAAAGCACGCAATGGACGAGCCTGGCAGTCAAGACTCGAACAAGCGCACTCGTATGGATTCAGATATGGACACTGGTAGCGCGTAAGTGGCGGGGGGGGGGTTGTTATTTTTGTTGTTGCTGTTTTTTTTTGTTTGTTTTTTGGCGTCGAAAGGGTGTTCTAACGATGCTTTTCGATGGCTTTAACCACAGTGCCTCTGCGGCTGCCGATCAATTGCCTCTCGATGTGGTATGTGTAGCCATTGCTTGTACGAGCTCCTTGTTGCAAACCGCATTATTCCCCTAACGAGTTTCAAATGGTCTGCAGGACTCGGACGAAGCGTTCGTCAAGGAGCTTCTTCGACGAGAAAAGCTCCTCCGAACTCGCTCCAGTGTTTTGCAAGCGTCAAAGGTGCGCTAGAGCTTGCCTCACAAACCTGTAGCGGTATTTTCCCTGACTTGTCCCTGATTTTTTTTTTGTAGAACTTTTCAAGCGTCCTGAACGTGATGCAGGACATCAAAAAGCGCCAAGAGCAGCTCGCCAAAACAGCCAGCTCTGCGACCGGCCCCAAGCAGTACAATCGTTATGAAACCCAAGAAAAGGACTACTGTACGTGTTTCGATGCTCCTCTTCCTCTGCTTTTTATTTTTGCAGCTCTGTCTTTGCTCACCAACAACTTGCCTCATTCATCATTGAACAGTGGCCGACTCGTTCCAACTCGATGCAAGCGGCACCAATTTGGCCAGCCCGAGCAGTCGCGCCGCCGCTTCGCCGGCAACGAATGCGCCGGAAGCCCAACAGCGCGATCTCGTGCCCATCATCATCGTGCCCGCCGTGGAAGACGCACTCATCACCCTCGCCAACGTCAAGGAGCTCCTTGAAAATAGTCACTTTGTCTCGCGGCAAGAGTTGCGAGACAGGCAACAAATCCGCCCCACTTCAGATAGTGTGCTCGTTCTTCGCAAAAAGGCCGACGGCAAGGCAGTGCCTTATCGAGTGATTGATTCAACGCTAAAGCTGCGTCCTGAGGACTGGTAAGTCGCGCTGGTTTTGCAGGTCCAAGTTGCAGTTCAGTTGGGTCTCATTTTTATCTTTCTTCTTTTTTGTTTTTCGAATGAATCGTTGCAGGAAACGGGTTGTTGCGGTATTTGCGCACGGTCCTGCATGGCAGTTTAAGGGATGGAAGTGGCCGTCACCTGCCGAGCTTTTCATGAAGGGTAAGGCTTTTTGAGCAATGCAAGTGATGTTTTGAACGAGCGACACACCCACGCATCCGCTCATTTCACTGCTCAATGATCACTGTAAAAAAAACCAGTGAAAGGCTTCCACTTGATGCTTCAGGAGGGCAAGGTGGAGGATACCATCAAGAGCTGGGACGTTTCCAAGCTTGTTGTATGTTGCAGATCCACATCTGTACCTGTCCTCGATTGCTTCAAGGATTTGCGTCTCATCTTTCTTCTTTGCTTCTTGCAGGTCAATCCACGAAAACCACATCTTGATACTACGGCCGTGCGTCAGTTCTGGGAAGAGCTGGACAACTGGACCTCGAAGCGTGATTTGAGTTATTTGCGATTGTAAATCCGATTCTAAAATACATCAGAGCAATCAAAATTGAAAACACCACATTTATATCTCAAAACTCTCAAGCGTGTCTCCAATATGGTTGAGCCGCAGGAAGACGTCGCACCCATAGCCATGCCTGTGATGAAAACGGCGACGCAACAGTGAGCCCCAGTTGATTGCTTCACACCCCATCAGCATCGAGCTTTTTGTTTACATGGAGCAAATATTCAGCGAGCCACCAAAGTATTCGGCGTTCACACGAGACATTGGCAGACCAAATCCAAGTCCAGCGAGCGGACCATACCTACAAACGACAACAACAACACACACAAATCAAAAAAAACCAGTCAGCCAAACAAAGAACCACACCAAATCCACAGCACCAAACCCCGCGAGCAACTGCTTTACCGATGAGAGGCAGATCCATCCATCAGATTGACAAAGTCCATGGGATTGTCACTGTCCTCTTCTTCTGGGCGAGTCATGGTCTCCATATCTGCAGTCGTGAACGAGTACGTCCAAATTTCTGGCATAATGTGCGGCGGAATGCCACCACCCTGATCACTCAGTCGAATAGTAATGTCTGTAGTGCCCTTGCAAATGGTGGCGACAATCTTGGGCAACCCTTGCTGACGCCGACTCCAGTTGTGCTCGACAGTCGCTCGCATTGCATTTTTGACCAACTCCAACAACATGTATTCGAGGTGCGCTGGAATGTACGAGAAGACTGTGTCGACGTGTCCTTGAATTTCAACCTGCGTCGTCGGATCAACGGAATCCAAGAATGAATTTAAGTCGCAACACTTCCAGAACATAAAAACCCCCTACACACACAAAAATGGACAAGTCTCTCACCTCCGGTGCAACTCCATAATGATGTTGGCACATGGTTCCCGCAATGTCGGCGACCTTTTCGACAATGGCACGGGGAGGCTGTGTGTGCCACGATAAAAATAGCATTTTTGTCAGTGTGTCGGCACGCAAAAAACCACCACGCCCATCTCCATACAACCGGCATTCTAACTCACCAGTTTCTCGCAAATAATGCCAATAAAGCCTGGCTGTTGATTGTGCAGGGCAAGGTGCTGCTCTGCCAACATGCGTACGCCAATACGGGACTGCAAGGTCAAGTCCAAAAACCGATTGAGCTTGTCAACGGGCATATACCGCTTGCTTTCGACGCAGCCCTTGCCCAACTCGACAACGACATTCAGGTGGTCGTCGACCAGTCGCGTGAGCATCTCGGTGAATGCACGCTCCTGCTCCATGGTTTCGATCGGCGGCCACTGTCGCAGGGAGTCGAACGAGCGCAAGTACAAGCTGTAGACGCTTTGAATGTGTGGATTGCACCCGACAATGAATGGGAGCTTTTGGAAGTCCCGGATGCGGTGTGCCAGTCGAATGGGCAGCTCGTTTTGCAAGTACTTGGCGAACAAGAGCTTTCTGCTTTCGTCGCTCTTTAGATTTTGTCCAAACTCGAACAGGGTTTTCATGGTCATGCGCGTGACGGGCTTTGCGGAGGAGGTGCGTGTTGAATCAAACAAACAAGTGAGTCAGTTTGCCATGCAGCAAAATAAGCCGGGGGAAAGGGCCGGTCTGGAATTTTCGCAGCGTTACCTGAGATGCATAAAAGTCAACAGACGTGTCATAAAAAGAAGCCGACGCTGGTCGTGCAGTGCCGACAGATAGGCTGGATGCACCAGTGGATGTGAGGGCGCCGGCAACGGGAGCCGCGGCCTGTTTGCGACGTGTTTGCTGGTGGTGATGGTGATGATGGTGATGATGCACGACGGCGGGATCGTGGTGCGAGGTGTGCTCGTCATGCTCATCCGTGGCCATGCTCTCTTGGGAGGTGGCACCGCCCGCAGTGCGCTCAAACTCGTCACGGTGCAGTTTGCTCGCGTTTGCCGGCGACGGCGCCGTCGTCAACTTGCCTCCAAATGTCACCGGTGGCGTGGCTGACTTTTGCAATGCTCGTTCGTGCCTGTCTTCCTCGTGATCGGGTCGCCATCGTTCGGATGGTGCCAAACCTAGATGCAACCGAATCGGCGTTGTTTCAACGGTGGTGAGTAAGTACTATTCTGCTCATTGGAATGATCACGACGATGACCACACAATAAGGGAATACTTGATTCGTCGCATTGTATGCAGTAAAGACCACAAAAACTGCGCAGATTCTCAGACTTTTTTGGCGGTTTTTTTTTGGCGTTGTTTTGGAATCGTTTCCAACCAGTGATCTGATCACAAGGATTGGTTTGCGTATTGGTTTTTGTTTCCCCCCCCCCCCAAATCAAAGTCCATCAAAACTCAATATTCTTAGAATCCAATCCGGTTGACTTTCAAAACCGATGACCAAAAAAAAAAAAAAAAAAAAAAAAAACAACTCAAAAACCGAGGTAGAAACAAAAAGTAAAAATCGAACTGCAAACCTGAAGTTGAATGGAACGTGATTTTGCGGAATGACGGACGAAGTTGGACGCGATTATTTGCAGCGAAATTGAGTGCATTGTGCGTGGGTGGCAGGACCAGCGGGGGATGGGCTGCGGCGGTGGACGGGGCGGGAAGAGCAGCACTACTGCGAGTGATCGAATGCACAGCGCGCCGAGTCGCTGTCGTCGCTGTCGTCGTCGTCATGGCCATCGTCCCCTGAATGGAGAGAGCCGGGCTTGAACGGTGATGGGGTGCTTGGAAACGCAGTGGCAGCGATGACGCGTCAACGGTTGGCGGCGGCGGTGGTGGATGAACGGTTGAACCGCCGTACGATGATGCAACTCCATCATGACGATGAGAACGATGGTAGTGATGATGCTCATGATGATGATAATGATGACAATGGGCGAGCACCGGCAGCGACGGCGGCGAAGAAGATGATGATGACAATCGGAGCGCACGGAGCGTTGATCGCAGTGCTGCTGCCTGAGCCATCCCCAAAGATTGAAGCTGCTGAAATGACGACTGGAAGCAAGCAGCAGCATAGAAACATTGTATATATAGTATCTCAGAACAGGATGCGCAACATATGGCAAACAGAACAGTTCATCGAGGGTTTGGCAAGAAAACGTTCAAAATGTCAAAAAAGCCCTAAAGCCAGCAAAACAACTTTGTGAGTGCTCGCTCAGGGGAGGGGTGAGGATGGCACCGACGTGGACGGAAGAGACACAAGCGACGTTGCACGGGTATTCGGCAGCGGCTCCGACAGCTGCGAGGTCAGTGGAGGATGCATCATGCTCGTTTCCGAGCGCGACATTGGACTCAAAGACCCGAGATTGCTGGGCTCAAAGTCGCTTGACTGCATTGTGACTTCGCTTCGGATTTTGCGGGCACTGAGAGATCGGCGCTTGCCCATAGCCTTGAGAAGGATCTGCGTCGAGAGAGAAAGTGAGAGAACGTGAATGGTGTGTGTCAATCACAAGCGAACGTAACAGCAGCAAAAGATAAAGATGCACCAGTTCGCTTACCAATGTGCTCAACGACAGGATGGTGTGCACGGCAGACTGCACTTCCAGATCCGTCACGCTCAAAATTTCGCTAGAATTGATGCGCATTGCCTCCATGCCATTGCGCGTCACCCACGGATGGCGCTACAGGAAGAGTAAGGTATGAGGAGTCCCCCCCCCCCAAAAAAAAAATGAGTTTCAGAGCATTCACAACAAAAGGAAAAAAAAAAAAAAAAAAAAAAAGGCGATGATTCAGAGCACACGCAACGCGAAGCAAAGAGAGGCTCACCTTAATTTCTTCGATACTGATGCGCTTAACAGGATCTTTAATGAGCATTTTTGTTATCAAATCCTTGACCTGTGGGTTGACCTCGATCTTTTGCGGGAATTTGAGCCTGTGCCCAACAAAGTGAAATTCACGCCAAAGTCAGCCCCAAACGGTAGACTGGAACCAAACCAACCAACCAACAAACCAACAAACAAAACGTACTCATCTGAACGAATCTTTTCATGAAGCTCGACTATGTTGGAGGAAATGAAGGGGCAGCGACCGTAAATGAAGCAGTACAGCGTAACGCCCATCGCCCACACATCGACGGGACGACCATTGTACAGGCTTGTACCAACTTTGAAAAAAAAAAAAAAAAAAAAAAGAAGAAACAGGCAGCAAAGGTAAGGGTTAGGGTTAGGGAGTCCTCAATCCGGAAAAATTCTCACAACAAACTTGTCGCAAAAACGCACCATCAATGGCCTCGGGCGCCATGAACGCAGGACTACCAGCCGTCTTGTGGATGAGATCGTTGTCGGCACACATGTGCGAAACACCGAAATCAGTAATCTTGATGGTGCCGCCCTCCGTCAGCAACAAATTGCCGGGCTTGATGTCACGATGAATGATACTTTGCAAGTGCACTGGCATCCATCACGATGAGCAACGTCGCCAAAGACACAAGACCGACAGCACTTGAAGAACGCCAAAAGAAAAAAACCAACCAAAAAAAAAAAGCATCTTTCGAAGAGCGCACTTACAATATTCGATACCAAACACCAAATCCGAAAAGTACCGGCGTGCTACATTTTCAGGGAATGGATCTGCAGTCATGACTTCTTGAATTTCCATAACTGCGCCACCCTCGACCAATTCAAAGACTGGTACGCAACAACGCAAATCCAGTATGAGTTCCACGTTCAAACAAACAAAGAAAAAACCCGGTTGCTTGCAGCACTCGTCAACTTACCCAAGTACAAGTTATCCTCGCGTTGATCGTCAATCACTTCGTGCAAATGAACAATATTCGGGTGATTGAGCTTTTTCAAAATGGCAATTTCACGCTTGACATTCATCAAGGGCGTGGACTCGTCCTCCGCGGGCTTTGGTGGCGGAGTGCCTGGCAGTTTCTTTGGAGGCGGCATGCGCAACCCAGCCTTCTTCTTCATGCGCTTGCGGTTGATAATTTTGATTGCCTGAATTGAGAGGGATGGCGCGAGAGGAAAAGGAAAAAAAAAGCAGAAGACAAAAATTCGAGAACGGTCAGTACGCCAACGAGTCAAAAACGCGTCTCACAAGCTCAACATCCAGTCCAGAAAGACGAAAAAAAGGGGGAGAGAACTTACAAATCGTTGACCAGTATTGTTGTCGATGGCGAGACGCACAACGCCATACGCACCACGACCAAGCTCGTTGTACAGGGAGTATTGATTGAGCATCTCGACATCGTCGTCTGTTTCCTGGCGCTCGACCGAGGTGGTCTCAATGGTGACTTGGGTCATGAGAGAGCGTCGTGGTGGGGGGCGCAAGTCGGAAGTAGGTTTGGATGCGGGAGCAGAAACCGCTGCCGCGCCGCCAGCAACTCCCGCAGCGGTGGCTGTTTCGGCTGCGGCTGATGCTGCTGCTGCTGCTGCTGCTGCTGCTGCTGCTGCTTTGGCAGCGCTGTCAGCAGCCATGATATCATCGACGGGAATGCTCTCGTCCGAGTTGCCGGGCGAGCCAATGCGAATTGGGGGACGGTCGGAGGCGGACAAGGCGCGCAACCGCGAAGGCCGTCGTACACTCAACAAGTTGGGCTCTTCGACGGTGGGGGCTCCGGTGGCAACGGTTTCTTGGCGCTTGATTGATTGGCGGAACCGACCAAACCGATTCGGACTGGAGGAGCGCCCAGCAAGCAGATCGTCCGTGGTTGCGGGTCGGTCGGCCGGCTCGTCGTTGCTCGTTGGAACGACAGAGGTGACGGCCGAGCCACGCTGGATCAACGGTGGCGGAAAGTCGTCATTAGGAACAACCCGTTCGCCGGGGATGAAAGAGCGAGGGGGCTCGTGGGGCACGTCCGGTGTGGGTGTGGCCGGAGTCACCGCAAAGGCCGTGGAAATGTCGCCGGCGGATCCAAAAGGACCGGACGTGTCGGCCAATGTCGGTCGCGGAACACGCGAAGGCATCTGTGTTTGCTGCTTTGCAGCGCTGGAGGCCGCACCGGACATTGAGATGTCTGCCACGGATGCGCGAACGCGAGGATGGGGAGGTGCCGCTTGCCCTGTCAGCACCGCAAACGTTTCACCGTCCAACTCTATTTGGCCCTGGGTGCGTTCCGAAAACATGGAGTACATTGTGTCTTCTGCGCGGTGTGGCGCAGACGTTGAGATGGTTTCCGAGCGTCCCAACGAAGCGAGCATGCGCGCGCCTCTCCCGCGCCCGGCCATTCCACCGCGCCCAGCATATGTTGGTTTGTTGGAGCCAGTGATGGGTGAAATTCCTATCACGCAGGCAGGCACCCAGGCAGGCAGGGGTGAAAGTGAAAAAAGTGAGCACAAACAATGCATTCGGTTTCTGAAAAACACTTTTGTAAGTGTGCTGTCGTCTCACCTTTGAGCGGGTTGTTGGGCTCCTCGTCCGTGGACAACGGAGATGGTGTTACTGGCGAGTCTGGACCGTCGCTCATCGTATGGAGCGTCGAGTGTATCTGCAGCGGGGCACGGAATGGAGAAATTGGCGTACGGTTCAGCATTGCCCTTCAACCGAATGAGCACCAGCATTCTCACCAGAAATCGGCCTTGTTTTCAGGATGTGTGTTTGTGTGTGTGTGTTAGTTCAAGCGTCGATTCCACCAACGAGCCTTTTTGTGAAAATGAACAAGTCTGTTGCCAAAGCAGACTTCAGTGAGTAATCCCACAAACAAAAGCATCAAACAAAAGGTGCAAAGCCAACAGACAATAAAAGTTCTCTCAAAGTCGAGAGTTAAGGTGACACTCGTGCGATTCTCAGTGATACTAAGCAATGCAATGAGAAAGGGGGAAGGGGAAAGGGGGAAGGGGGCTGGTTGTTTGGTTGAAGCACCATTGCCCTTTGCCTCTCAGCGCTCATCTCTCTCTCCTCTCCCCTCCGCTCCCTCCGCTTTCGTCGCTGAGCACAGCACAGATAACACCACCACGTCATCCGCTGAGGAGAGAGGGAAGGGGGGGGGCAGAACGAGTGTCATTGATCAGGACGCTTCGATGGATTGGCCCGCTCGTGATTGGAACGCGCTCTCTCGCTCATTCCCCTCTTTCTGGTGCTGCCCACCGCGCGAGCCAACAACGCGCGTCATAGCATGCAAGGGTCGCAAGCGCACGGATGCGTGGCTTCACACAAAACCCCAGTTTTGCTGCTCAATGCACCCGCAGCAAAAATAAAAATAAAAATAAAAATAAAAAAATAAAAAAATAAAAGAAAATAAAATCAACATTAAAAAAACAAGGACAAACGAACCAAACAATAAAAATAAAAATAAAAATAAAATCAACATTAAAAAAACAAGGACAAAAGAACCAAACAACAAACGTGGAAAACAGACGCAGTGCAAACAGCGCGTGTGAGTCGCGTGAGTGCGTGTGTACGTGCTTGAGCGGAGGTAGGAGGGGAAGGGTGGGGGGGGGGGCGAGGGTGAAAGCGACGCGCGCGTGAGTGAGTGAGTGAGCGAGTTTGAGAACGAAAAGGCGAAACAGAGAAAAAAACCATTGAAAAAAAAAAAAAAAGCAACAATAAAAACTTCGTTTCGCTTTTTTTTTTTTTTTTATTATTTATGGTTTTGCGTTTGTGATCGAGTTTCGCTTGCGTTCGGCAAGAGCGAAAAGTGCATCAACGAAAGCAAGTGTCAGCAAGAATGATGGTCAACGAGCCAAAGATCAACGAGGGAAGAGCCACAAAACCAAGAACAAGTTTGCAGAGCAAATGGAGCAAAATGGACAAGGAAAAAAAAAAAAAAAAAAAAAAAAAAAAAAAAAAAAAAAAAAAAAAAAAAAAAAAAAAAAAAAGGGCACAGCAATGGCAAAGGCAAAGGCGAGCCAAAGCTGCTCCAACAGCCTCACACAGCAGACAGACAGGAGATGGAGAGAGAAGGGTGGAGAACGATGGGGAAATTCGGGGGAGAAGAGAAGCACGGGGGACAATCACGAGTGGCTGAGGATGCAGAGAACGAGAGAGCGAACAAACAGAACGAGTTGTGATTTACAATTGATGCGAAAAGAAAGAAAAAAAAAAGAAAAAAAAAAGAAAAAAAGGACTGGAACAGGATGCTGAGACTCTAAGAGACTCTAAGCGTGAACGTCGACCGGGAAGAGGCGCGCGTTGGATGAAGCATCGGAAACTATCGTGGAAGACTCTTGGACGATGAAAAGGGACAACTGAATTTGCAGTCGGTTGTTAACTTTCACCAATCTGCATGCTTCATACACATCCTTTTCGTCCCCTTCTCGCCCGCCCGCGGAAAACAATATCAGGGAGGAATTGCTTTGAGAAGCGGCCGGCGGGATGGTAAACAAGGGACGACTGTGATCAGAAACACGAGGCAGGACGCTTAGTTTTCTCTCGAATCGCTTGACGTTGCTGTTCAACTGAGCCGACACGCAGTCCAATTTCCCGCCAACCGCAACCATCACGCGCGCCTTATTCTGCTCTAAATCGACATGAGAGACGCGTGGGAGTGGGGGTAAGTTGGGGCTTCAACCTCTGAGTTTCCCGGTCGGCTGTTTAGATCGAGCCTTTGTCTGCCAGCAATCGATCAAATAGATCTACTAGTAGAATCCTAGAAATCGTGCACTCAGCATGGGGGAGGGAGAGAGAGGGAGAGAGAGAGAGAGAGTTCGTGTGCTGCTCAAGTTACGGCAGGGTTTTTTTTTTTTTTTTTTTTTTGTTTGAAACGTTTAAAGCTTTATTAAGAATAACAAAGAAAAGAGAAAGTAAGATATGAGACAGTTGGATGTCGTCATAACGCACAAGTGCTCAAAAGTTCACAAAGGAACTCGAACAGATGATCAGCCGAGCGGACAATGGAAGGATCGGGCATTCCCCACCCACACACCACGAAAGACATGTTGCTAGCCGTCGCGGTTCACAAACAAGTAGACGGCTGGCAGGCGGTGGGACAGCACACTGTCGTACGGAGCGACAATTCAGAGACAGCTAAATGATGTAAACACAATCAAGACGAAGCTCTCCGTCTCACCATCGTCATGCACACTGCCCGTTGGACTTTTTGGACGCTGCGCTGTACACCGTGTTCACCCCCCCCCCCTCCGCCAACGCGGTTCTCCGCTGACGGCAGGTTGCGACGGGAATGGCAACTTGACGAGTTGGTGCACTGCTTCCTGCTGATCTCATTCTCGCATGACATCGCCATGACGATGACTGTTCTGGATGATCGTTCCTCGTTCCTCGTTGACTCGGTTATCACTTATGAGATGGCTTGAAGCGAGCGATAAAAGCCGACAACTCGACAGCAACTTTTTCCCGCCCTACGAACAGAGTGTGTGTCCCAGTCTATTTTCGTTTTCTTGGCTTTTTTTTTTTTTATTGTTTTGGTCTTGATTACTTTTTATTTTTTTTATTTTATTATTTTAATGGCCATTGTGTGCTGTTTTCCATCTGCTGTACCCACGGCAGTGCCTCGGCCATCGTCCAGGTAGTCTGCACTGCTCTATCACTCGCTTCTACGCCCCCCGTTGACCCGCGCTGTTCCCTGAGAGGGCCCCGTTCGTTTTTCTTTGATTTTGTGTTTTTCTGATGCTTTTTTTTTTCCTTTTCTTTTTTTCCTTTTTCTTGTTTTTTCCGTTTGTTTTCCTCCCCCCCCCTTGCTTTTTAGTTGTCTTTTGTTCCCATCAACCGCTTATTCGTTGCAGCAGACTCCTCTGCGAAGCATGCTGTCGAACTGCGTGTCTTGTGTGCTTTCCCACTTTACGTCGGCGCTTCATCCACCTTGCCTGGATTGGCAACGCAGGACGCGGATGTGGGTGGCACGCGAACGCGCATGACCACCTCCGTCTCCTCTCTGTTTTCTGCTCTCGGCTGTCTCCCCATCCCTCCCTCGTTGTCGCTCTCCGCCCAACCATGCGCAAACTCCAGGCATTCATGGATTTGTTGTTGTTCTGAGCGATAGAATTGGCCACAGCGGGTTCGTGCCCCTGCTCTCAAGGGAGCAGACTTACCCCATGTTGCCATTCGCTCTCACTCTCTTTCCCTCGCTCTCACTCTTTCCCCCTCGCGCTCACCCTCGCGCTCGCCCTTGCGCCGAATATGGGGAGGATGAGGATGACATGCTGCTTGTGGTCGAGTCGGTGTCAGTGTTGTGGGAGAGTGGTTCTGCTATTGTGGGGAGGGAGGCCTGTGGTGCTTTTCAAAACACGATGCAACCTCCAAGAACGAAATAAGCAAACCGAAAAACACAAAAACAACAAAAACCAAAACGGCCATCCCCCTTAAAATAAAACTCCAACAACGAAATTTTGAAATATCAAACTCGTCCTTCCACGCCAAACGCGTCCAGCAGCAACAACAACAAACATGCCTGTCAACACTATATGAAGGACTGGGTGTGATTTGATTTTGATAGTTGTCCAACGAGTGCAAACGTGTGCTCACCTTGATGTGCTTCGGGGAATTGCTAGCATGCGAATTCGCATTCCCATGCTCGCCATTGTGCTCGCCATCAGCGCCATGGTTTTGGCTGCTCATCCACTTGGCGCGAATGCCATCGCCTGCTCTGCTTGTTCCACGTGCACGAGCGAAAGTGTGAGCGGTTGTCCGGCAGCCACCACGACCTCAATCCCCACGGGAATTCCTGTCACCGTCGAACTCATGTCAGTGGCACTTTGGCAAATTTGCAGCAATTGTAGCCTGTGTGAGCCTGCAGTGGGTCACTCACCTTTATCTGGGATCGCCCACACAAATCATGCAGAGATCTGTCCAACACCGCCATTACATCGATCCCGAACAGCGCATTTAGTTCGTTCACCCAATTGACTTCCATGTAATGAATCCGACAATGTTTTGCCTTGTGTTTTGTTGTACAAACGGTCGACCTCAATCCGGTTTTGGTTTTAGATCCTTGATGAACTGCCCCATCACCACCATTGGAATGAGTGCCTTTGGAGCAAATCTGGACGCACTCCACACTTTGTACGTCCGACCAGTTGAGAATCGCAATCCCGCTGTTGTCTCAGCTTGCTCATTTCAACCGTATCACTCAGAAACTTGGCGGGCATTTCTGTCACGAAATTCGCTATTGGTCTGTTCTCTGGATTGTCTGCAGTGACCACATTGTCCGTCCGCGTTGTTGTTGTTGTTGTTGTTGTTGTTGTTGTTGTTGAGACTTGCCGTTACTCACGCTGCGTTCGACAGGCATTTGGGGAGCTACGAAGAGTATGCCACGGGGAGTGAGCTGCAAGAGTTGGTCGCATCGCAGTTCAACGGCATGTCATCGTTGCGTGTGCTGTAAGACGAGCTGCGCTTCTGAAATACTGAACCGAAATTGAATCGAAGGCACAAACTGTTGTGCCGCTCTGTGTTGGCCTTGGAATAGCGACCTCTCGGATACCAAACTCACCTCGGTTATCGCAAATGCATTTCATGGACTCTCATCCCTGACCTTCTTGTAAGAATTGGCGTGCAGTTGAACCTATGTACTGGTTGTACACTTAATGTTTGGCGACAGGTATCTTGATCGAACTCAGATCACAAGCTTGACGCCTGGCATGTTCGATGGGCTGCCGCCGAACGTTGTTGTGTAACCAGAGTTTTTTTCGCTCACTGCTTCGCAATGATCGAGGCATTGATGGCTCACCTCAAACACTCCTCAATTGCCCCTCCTAAACCTCTCCCCGATCTCCAGGTCAATCCACACCAGTTCAGTCAACTCCCTTCCGGCGAATCTGTTTCAAGGAGCACCCAACTCCATCAGTTTGTGCGCAACCGCAGCGTGCTGTCTTCGTTGCATGCTCATCATTGTATCGCTTCTGCAATCCCACTCACCGACGATTCTGTGCGTGCAGCAAATTGGAGGCATCTGCTTTGACAACCATCCCTGCCAATGCCTTTTCTGGGCTCTCGAATATGACTCTGTAAAGATTTGACGCTACGAACTTGAGCTGTCTTGGATCCCATGCCAAACGAAAGCACACAATGACTGATCTGCTTGCTTTGCAGGACGTTTACTGCCACACCAACACTCACCATGATCGAACCCGGTGCATTTAACGGAGTACAGCTGTTCACCTTGTAAGCGGAATGCAATCCGGGTTTGGTTGAAAGTTTTCCGCATTTCTCACCGATCGCCCGCCTTGGGGTCACGAGCAGGCGACTTTCCAACACTGGCTTGACGACACTGCCCCCTGGCCTCTTCCAGGGACAAACGATGCTGAGCTCTGTCTACCTAGGTCAAAACAACTTTACCGCGTTTGGAAACACCAACGCTCCTCCGAGCACCTTTGGCAATGTCAGCGACCCCACTGGTAAGACTCGTGTTCAGCGCGATCTGGTTTTTCAAAGGTCGTAGCGCTGAATTGGTTTATTCACTGCAAGCATTGTCTTCGCCGCCACCTTTTTGCTTCGTAATCTCGAACAGTTTGCCATTCGATCTGCGCGACTTGCTTTGCGGCGGGGAACGATTCGTGTTGCAGTGACAACTGTCTCTACTGCTCGAGTACGCCACTCTGCACTGTCTGCTCCACTGGCTTCACCCCCATGAATGGAAGCTGCATTCCGCTCTCGTCGGCTTCGTCTTTGGCCGCGGCCAATGCATCTGCTGCCTCGACCTCGGTTGCCACTCTGGCGTCTGTCGCTTCCACGTCTTTAGAGCCCATTCGAGCTACAGCAGCTTCTGCATCCGCTGCCTCGGCGTCTATCGCTTCAGCATCTTCAGCATCCCTTGCTTCGGAATCTACGGCTGCTAGCTCCACGGCACAAGCAAACTCAACGGTCACTGCAAGCTCCATCTCTACCGTCACTCCCAGCTCCAAAACTCTCACGACTACAGCCTCGTACAGCCCTTCCGTGTCGAGCTCCCCGACTGGCAGCTCTGGAAACGAAACCGTCCCCACCGGTCCCTTCACTTGCAATGGCAACAGCCAGCACTTTTGCGGCTACGCTTGCCCGTTCCAGAATGCCACACTCTGCAACTTTATGAGCCAACGCTGCAACTTCCCCTCTGGAACGGCCTTGTCGTCGGAATGCACGCAAGCTATCACCACGTTCTGCCAGAACAACGC